TGTGATAATGATTATGATGATGACAGTGAAAAAATATGCAAACACATCAATAGTGCTCTTCCTGTCACTTTATTATGTTTCAAACGGGTTTTTGTTCCCTTCAATCTGCAGCCCTGAGGTGTATTTTTTTTAGTAGGGGACACATGGCATATAACTATGACAATAATCACCATAACAACAAACTTTTGGGGTTACATTCAAGACAAAGTGCTAATACAAAATTATTATACCAGATTCTGGAACAGATATTTTTACTCAAAACATGTCAACAATTTAGGGCTACGTAAAATGAGAATAAAGAATTAATCTTAAGAATAATAACAAGCGCAGCTTTTGAAGGTGTTATTTTGTTGCTGGTGTTATAAAATATTTTGTGGATATAAAAATATGTATCATATTAATTTTGTTACTTAACTTCACCAGCTTGATGCTGGCACTTTTCTCCTTTGTTCCATCTTTCCAGACAGCGGTGTTATTTTGTGCCGTAGGGAGGTACCGCAGCTCAGGGCGATGGTCAATGTAACTAGCAAGACCTGCTCACGTTTAGAAAAGTCTTTCCCGGCTAAAGCATAGGATTTCAGGCCCACTGTTGCTGGTGTAGATATTTAATAGACATTTCAGACACTCAGCTCTCAACCTATCAGCAATCTTTTTCTCCTTTATTCCCTATTCCCATCCTGACTTTCCTCCCTCCATGATGTATGGTCCTTGGCATCCTCTTCCTATGATGTCAGCTTGTCAGTATATACAAAAGCACCCCATTCTTCCCTTGATATTCACATCTAGAGCACTATCTGCCTACCACTCTAACTCTTTCTTGATTGATAAGATTTTCGTTGATCTGGTGTAGGGCAATGGTTGTAATGTGCCTGTTTGCAGCAGAGCCTTTTGGCTGCTATATCTGTCTTCTCCCTGGCATTGTTTTGTCCAGGATCATCTTCCCTGGTACTCAATAAATTTATTAAGTACATTCTTCTTACTCAACATATTTTTAATAATTCCCAAAGACTAAACAAATGTTAAAACACATAAGGAAAGAAAGCTTGCACAATTATACACAGATTAACATGCAACGAAGAGATCAATATAATAGTTTAAAATTATATTATATAAATGCAAAGAAAATAGGAATGGAAAAACATTTACTAGTTAAAAATTAACAAAATGTGATACAATTTCACATATCTTAAATGCATGTTGATTCACGTGTTAAGATAAATCTAACAATTTGAAACTTATATGTATGTGTGACTGGAATTTCAGCATTTATAAATAGTTTTGCTTTATACATAAAATAAATTGTTAGTACTGTATGTCATTTTGATATATAGTATAGGATTTATTGAGAGCATGCACTAGGGAAAATAGTACTGCATAAAAAATATTAGCAAAAAACTGTTTGTTATAATGCAGCTTAAATTACTGTAAGTTTTGTTTAAAAACAAGTAGAAATTTCATAACACAGAAATAAAGTATTTAATAACAAAAGACTTTTTTAAAAAAAAAGTTACAAAAACTATCACAGAATAAATTTTAAACATAACATTAGCAACAAGAAATAGGGAGGTGTACATTTCGGCAGACATAAAGAAATAAACAAAAATAAATCCTTTTTCTACAGATTATGGTCCCGTATACAAAGGAATGTAATAATGGAATTAAAAGATCAAAAGTTTCTGTAAATTTCCACTGGCATATGCATCTGAAAAACGGAACTATCTGACAATTACTGAACTATCTGACAATTTCTCAGGGTGTAGGGCAAAAAAACAACAATAAGGGTAGCACCTCAAGAAGGTGGACAGCCACATCTTTCGAGATGGTTCCCATTCCTTGGGCCCTATTTCTGTACCCGTGCCATATCCCAGGTCAGTCTTCGCTGACTGGCAAAACTAAGTGAGTGAAAACTAGATATGTTTCATTTCATTAATGGGGGAAATTTGTGGCACTGCTGCTTTTTTTTTTTTTTTTCTGCCAGTGGCAGAAAACAGGTTTACTTCTGACCACGATGCTACAGTCCATCATCATCAAGTGTCTTGTCAACTGTCTTAAGTCCTCCTTCGACAATGTCAATCTAAACTAAACTAAATAATAATTATCGAGATGCTGTCGGGTAATGCCTAGAGTTCTTTCTCATCTTTCCAACTCACATCCTGGATTTCACCTCATATTCTAAAACGGAAAAAAATTGTGAGTCTGACCTCATATCCTGAAAAATATATCCATGTACGCTTCTATTGTGGGGTTCTACTGTACTGCTTTTAAAAACTGGTCACATCAAATGTCTGTGTGCTTACTTTAGTAAAATTTGATAAACTGGAACTTGATAATTTGTGCATATTTAAAGTAAAAGTAAGAAAATTTAACTTGTCAAGACACAAGACATCCCACAAAATTCACATCACAGCAATTACATTTACACAAAACAACAGCCAGTTGTGTGGTGACAGTAAAAGTTAGACAAATATATGATTCAGAACTTACCCGAACCTAATCAATACAGCTTCAGATAATAAGATTCTGCATATCAGAATTCACTGACTACTTTACTTGTTTCATCAATCGATCGATGACTCTGTCCTCTCCAGGCTGCTACCTAAAGGTTACACCTACCATCCTGAGAAAAAAATAACTTAAATCTGAACAGCAGACAGACAAACAGATCCAAGATACCCGGTTCCATCTCCCCCCCAAAAAGTTAGGGCAATATGGTTATAATCAGGAACCCTATGGCTATACCAAGTACTATCACCGTGATGTACCCTGTTGTCTTAGGTGGGATTCACTGAGCTGCTTGAGAGGCTCAATAAGAACGGAAAAACCAATAGATGCAACTAAAAATTTCCACAAAGCCTTTTTCAACAAATACAACAAAAAAGAAGAATCCTAATCACATCCCCACATGACAGCTCTTTGATAAAGACATTGAAGACATTGGCTGAAACGTTCAACTGTTTCTGGATTCCCCCCTACCCCCATACATAAACAAATGAGCTTCCTTGCTATAGTTCAGTGAATTCATTGTTTGATACCAGCTGGACTGCAGTTGCCTGTATTTCATGTCAGAGCTGTGTCTGGATACTGACACTGTACACTGCTGAAAGGTTATCTAAACATGCAAATGCTGCCAAATATAACTGATATTTATCTTTATTGACACCATTGGATGAACTGTTTTAACCGGTGAAACAAATACAAGCATGTCAACGAGTATGGGTGAATATTTTATAGAAAGTAAACGTGCCACATAAAAATTCTTTACAAAAGCACAACCGTTATTAATAAATTCACTGATCATCAGTTTCTGAATCAGGTATCAACTATAATCTTTTAAAATACTCACTGTCTAGTTAGTCTAATAAAAAGCTTTGTTGGGTTCAAGCTGAATGCTCTATATTCTCATATCTTTGTATAAAACTGACACCGTGCACTGCGAACAAACATGTGCTCAGCCTTCCTTAGCCTTCCCCTACCCAGTCCTCATGCCAGTAGCAGCTACTCTGGATAAAGGCTGTTGATATGTACTGTGAGTTATGCTAGTGTTATCTATTGCCTTGAAAACTCTGCCACGATAATAACCTTTACTGGTTTCAGTTTTGACAGTTCCAAAAATATTTGAGTGCAGACGTATAAACAACTCTGCAACATAAAAAATTATTACATGCCACCGACCAATGTATTTTCCACCCATTCTCTATCTTAAATCAAAGTAATAAGACAAGTTCCAACATGGGACTAAATTTTTTAATTTTACAGCCCCACTACGAGGGACTTCCAGTTACTTTGTAACCATCAGGGGTCATGATATAACCTTATGGTTAAAAGGGGTTTCTGGGATTTGTACCTGAGGGATTCTCATTCAAGTAAAGATGCAATGCACTTTGTGTCACACAGTGTTAATCGCTTAGTGTGCGGTCCTAGTGGGTTTAGTTTTACTCACTCTTTCTTATAGGTTAAAAGCATGTTTTTCATTTCTAACTTAGACCAGCATTTAATGTCTAATTTAAACCACATTAATGAAACAAAAATTATCATGCAGATGACAAAAATGACCAAATGAAGAAACACTTGGGTAATAATAAAACGTGCTTCTGTATTTCTGCTCCTCTTACATATTGCACTGGTCCCCGTTTATTTGCTTAATATTCCCTGATATAAATGTACATTATGTAACAAATATAACGTTACGTAAAATACCAAAAGTTTCTGCTTTAGGAGGTATTAATTCTTAAATGCTATGCCTAGGTTTTGATGCTGAGTTATTCAAATAGCTTGACACTGAATTCTGTGCTGAGGTTTTTTCCAAAAGCCTATTTCTCCACAACACTACAAGATGCTTCATTAGGTCCAGTACCACAATTATGTATTCTGGAATCCCTGAACTAAAGCATATTTGCCACTTTGGCCGCTCAAAGTATGTGCTTTTTTAGAGATGTAATTAATTTTGCCTGCATACTGAATCTAGCTTCATGTCAGTACAGCATTAATATAATTAATATTGACACCTTTTAAGCCTTAATGCTGGGGGTACCAAGGAATGGACCTTGCAAAGATTTATATCTAATTTAACTGACCTTTGGTTTCCAAAGATGTTTGTTTTAAACTGGACAATCCGTGGACAATTGTCCATGGCTAAAAAACTTACTGAGCAAGTTTTACATAAAGAAGATTGTGTTTACAAGTTTACATTGTGCACACACAATGACAGACTGATCTATTATTGTGAAAATCTTCCCAAGCAAGTTTACATGCAGAAGATTTTGTTTACATGTTTAAATTTTGTTGTACATGCAATACTGGACTGGTTTATTATACTTTTCTAATTTTTTTTAATATTTTTTAAATAACTTCACCAAAAGTTGTAACTCATTTAGAATAAAGGAATGCATCATAAGTGTTTATCAGTTATTCTCTGCACGGTATGGTCCCACTATGTTATTATTGGCCTTTTTGGGGGGTTCTCAAACGAAGTCCCAAAATGAACAGAAATTACATAGCTTCTATTTCATTGATGCTGCAAGAGCTGTATATAACTGTTCTTGCACAGCTCTAGGCATCATATGTAAGATTTCCTCCCTTTCCGTTGGGTTCAGTTTCTTGAGTTCTTCAACCAAGAAGTAGTACAGCTCGTCTGTGGTCAAGCGGTTAGCTATGACTGACCATTTTGTAGTTGGGTCCAGGTAAGAGAGAATTGAAACTAGAAGATCACGGTCATCAAGCTGAGTCTAGAATGAAAAAGCAACCCAAAAAATGTTACACTGCTGAAATACCACATAAAACTAACATTGGAAAAGTGTTCAGATTTGTTAATTAAAATAAATAATAGTGGTAAGGTCGGCTTCTGTGGCTAAGGCGTTACGAAAACGCTTTATAATTCCTTCTTTTTTCTTCTTCGTACTCACCAGCTGTAGTACACTCTGATGGGAAGTTCTGGCTGGACTTTCTTGTTGCGGAATCTGAGCACTGCGTGCACATCCGTTTAACAGATCTGACTAATTTGTATGAAGACTGCTGATTCCTTGCCTCTCAAGCTGATGCACCCCGACTTTGAAGGAATTTCTCAAATAGTCGACTCTTATGACATGCTTGTTTGGACAGCAGTGGGTCTATTTTTGTTTTCCCCTAAACAGGGCCCAGGAACCCATAAAAGGAACTTTGTAAGTCTGAGGTGCCAGGTTCAATCCCAGAAGTGGGCAATCTGGCAGCAGATCACCTTGCACTGGTTTTGACAGCAGTTTTGAGAGCTGAATTTAAAACTACCAAGTCAAATCACAAACAACCAAAACATGCTGGGGGTTAGTTCTGTAACATTATGTAAAGTAGAGCTATTTAACTGCAGCCCAGGTGCCGAATCTGGAGAGGTCTAGCAAATGGCCCGCGGATCACTGCCAGTTTTTTGTACCATGATCTTTCTATGCATGGGCTCAGGCCTCTGGCGCACGATTCCCAGTTTTAATATTTGGGCCCCAATCCGCATCTGCTGGGTGGTGCGGCCAACATCACTCCGACCATCTGTACTCCCCAAAACATTATTTGTACCCATTTATGCTGTAGGTGTAGCAGGTGTATTCTTTTTTTTTCTCCAAAAATGGGGCCCTAGGACCTACACAGGGAATGCATCATCCTATATGTGATACACTGATACCCAGCTCCAGAACCTACACAGGGAATGCACCATTCTATATGTGATACACTGATACCCAGCTCCAGAACCTACACAGGGAATGCACCATCCTATATGTGAGACACTGATACCCAGCTCCAGAACCTACACAGGGAATGCATCATCCTATATGTGATACACTGATACCCAGCTCCAGAACCTACACAGGGAATGCACCATCCTATATGTGATACACTGATACCCAGCTCCAGAACCTACACAGGGAATGCATCATTCTATATGTAAGACACTGATACCCAGCTCCAGAACCTACACAGGGAATGCATCATCCTATATGTAAGACACTGATACCCAGCTCCAGAACCTATACAGGGAATGCACCATTCTATATGTGAGACACTGATACCCAGCCCCAGAACCTATACAGGGAATGCATCATTCTATATGTAAGACACTGATACCCAGCTCCAGAACCTATACAGGGAATGCATCATTCTATATGTGATACACTGATACCCAGCTCCAGAACCTATACAGGGAATGCACCATTCTATATGTGAGACACTGATACCCAGCCCCAGAACCTATACAGGAAATGCATCATTCTATATGTAAGACACTGATACCCAGCTCCAGAACCTATACAGGGAATGCATCATTCTATATGTGATACACTGATACCCAGCTCCAGAACCTATACAGGGAATGCATCATTCTATATGTAAGACACTGATACCCAGCTCCAGAACCTATACAGGGAATGCACCATCCTATATGTAAGACACTGATACCCAGCCCCAGAACCTATACAGGGAATGCATCATTCTATATGTGATACACTGATACCCAGCTCCAGAACCTATACAGGGAATGCATCATTCTATATGTGATACACTGATACCCAGCCCCAGAACCTATACAGGGAATGCACCATTCTATATGTGAGACACTGATACCCAGCTCCAGAACCTACACAGGGAATGCATCATTCTATATGTGAGACACTGATACCCAGCTCCAGAACCTACACAGGGAATGCACCATCCTATATGTGAGACACTGATACCCAGCTCCAGAACCTATACAGGGAATGCACCATTCTATATGTGAGACACTGATACCCAGCCCCAGAACCTATACAGGGAATGCATCATTCTATATGTAAGACACTGATACCCAGCTCCAGAACCTATACAGGGAATGCATCATTCTATATGTGATACACTGATACCCAGCTCCAGAACCTATACAGGGAATGCACCATTCTATATGTGAGACACTGATACCCAGCCCCAGAACCTATACAGGGAATGCACCATTCTATATGTAAGACACTGATACCCAGCTCCAGAACCTATACAGGGAATGCATCATTCTATATGTGATACACTGATACCCAGCTCCAGAACCTATACAGGGAATGCACCATTCTATATGTGAGACACTGATACCCAGCCCCAGAACCTATACAGGGAATGCACCATTCTATATGTGAGACACTGATACCCAGCCCCAGAACCTATACAGGGAATGCATCATTCTATATGTGATACACTGATACCCAGCCCCAGAACCTACACAGGGAATGCATCATTCTATATGTAAGACACTGATACCCAGCTCCAGAACCTATACAGGGAATGCACCATTCTATATGTGAGACACTGATACCCAGCCCCAGAACCTATACAGGGAATGCATCATTCTATATGTAAGACACTGATACCCAGCCCCAGAACCTATACAGGGAATGCATCATTCTATATGTGAGACACTGATACCCAGCTCCAGAACCTATACAGGGAATGCATCATTCTATATGTGATACACTGATACCCAGCTCCAGAACCTATACAGGGAATGCACCATTCTATATGTGAGACACTGATACCCAGCCCCAGAACCTATACAGGGAATGCATCATTCTATATGTGAGACACTGATACCCAGCTCCAGAACCTATACAGGGAATGCATCATTCTATATGTGAGACACTGATACCCAGCTTCAGAACCTATACAGGGAATGCATCATTCTATATGTGAGACACTGATACCCAGCTCCAGAACCTATACAGGGAATGCACCATTCTATATGTGATACACTGATACCCAGCTCCAGAACCTATACAGGGAATGCACCATTCTATATGTGAGACACTGATACCCAGCCCCAGAACCTATACAGGGAATGCACCATTCTATATGTGATACACTGATACCCAGCTCCAGAACCTATACAGGGAATGCACCATTCTATATGTGAGACACTGATACCCAGCCCCAGAACCTATACAGGGAATGCATCATTCTATATGTGAGACACTGATACCCAGCTCCAGAACCTATACAGGGAATGCATCATTCTATATGTAAGACACTGATACCCAGCTCCAGAACCTATACAGGGAATGCACCATTCTATATGTGAGACACTGATACCCAGCCCCAGAACCTATACAGGGAATGCATCATTCTATATGTGATACACTGATACCCAGCTCCAGAACCTATACAGGGAATGCACCATCCTATATGTAAGACACTGATACCCAGCCCCAGAACCTATACAGGGAATGCATTATTCTATATGTGATACACTGATACCCAGCTCCAGAACCTATACAGGGAATGCATCATTCTATATGTAAGACACTGATACCCACCTCATGCTGCACCTCACTCCACAGAGATTCACAGGTCATCATTTCCTCCCTGTCATCAGGCCTTGGCTTGGTGTTGGGTGTCAAGGTGAAGTTCAGCTCTGGGGCTGCAGCCATGTCAGTGGTGGGCTCACCTACACGAATGGTGTTCACAATGTGGACACAGTAGAATGACGGATGGAAACCATCAGCGTGGGCAGAGATGCGGTAGTAGCCATCAGCCAACAGACGATAGTAGTCACCATCTTTCACTACAAAGAGAATATGCCATTATAAAGCGAGCTACCTTGAAATGTTTTGTGAACGTTTCTTAGATGCATGGAAATTAGCCCCCATCACTCTTTTATCCGCAAAACCCTTGAGAAAAAAAACGTCAAAAATTCTGGTGTTAAAAAAAAAACTTTTACATGGGTGAAACATTTTGAAAAAAAAAAATTTGTTTATATTAATTTTTGTTTTCTCTTAATTGCAGTCAAAATATATGAAGGCAACTAATCAATAAAAGGTGCTGGAGCTAAAAATTAAATAAATACATTCTCTTGGTCTTTAAAAAAAATGTTATATCCCAATTTATCCTTCCTTGCTTAGCAGCCACTGAAAGCTGAACAGCAAATTATGATTTCATAATGTTTTTTAACCACTATTTTCACAACCCCCCCCCAATATCCCGGCCCAACCCCATTAAACACTGCAGACACAAACAGATCCAAAGCTGGTTATCAGTCCTAAAATGGGTAATATGAAATGTTCAAGGAAGTTATCGTGGCCGGAAAGATGCTGAAGACATCACCTATCAAGAGTATGTTACCTCTTCTTCTTCTTAAAATTCATCGGCTGTAAACTCGGGCAGAAAAGTCTCACTGTTCGTCTACTTCTGGCTCATCTGTTAGTTCTTCTCCTCTCAGGCAGATGCACTCCAATTTCAAAGAAACACCCCTATTAAGTCGACTTTTAAGACATACCTGCTGGGGGTGGAGAGGGGAGGAAGCCGGTCTATTGTGCTCTTCCATAAAACAGTGCCCCGTAACCCACATGGGAAGGCGTATATTAAAAAGTCAAGGACCAGTTGTGTATAGGCATATGACAATGGATAATGTGCTCAGCCTTATGCTGGCTGTCTTTACTTCCCAGGACATCACCTTAATGACTTTCCAAAGCTGTAAGGGCCCGCATTGTCCGCTTCTCAGACCCAAAATGTTAAGGGGTCGCGATATGGCAATGTTTTCAGTTCATGACAATAACACTGATTTTTCAAACTGTTCATGGCTGTAAAATTCAACAGTCATTTCTTCACCTCCTGATTCACAACAACTTGCTTCCATCTCTGACAAAGCTCAACATTAGTGATTCTATTATAACCTTTAATTTCCTGCTCAGGCACCAGTTAATGAATGTTTATAGTTTATTGGTAACTGTTATAGTTGTCGTTCTCCAATTTTCCGATCCTTATAAAAGCACCGACTGCACATTAGAATTGAAAATTTTAAGTTTACTATTAGTTTTAATTTCTTTTGATCTCCAAAAATCTCATGGTGCTATGAAAGCTTCTCATCAACGTGTCATGAGTTTGAAACCTAGCACACAGATCTATCATAAACTTCATTTCACAACAATGTACAAATTACTTACATGACAGAATATCATGTTCTATAGGCAGACCAGACGCCAGGTTGCCAACTTTGATTTCAGCATTGGCAATTGGTGCATTCTCTGAGGACTTCACATAGCCCTTCACTCCGATGTGTGTCTGAATAACACGCAAATTAACATTATTTACATAAGTAACAAAATTTTGAAATTAATGACCCCAAAATGAACCTTGCAAAACATTTGTTTTAAAAAAAACAGATATGGGCTTCCAGTTGGAACTAGTCCTAACACGAGTACTGGGAAATGTTCAAGGAAGTTAACGTGGCCGGAAAGATGCGGAAGACATCACCTATTAAGGGTATATTACTTCTTCTTCTTCTTTTTCTTAACATTTTCCGGCTGTAAACTCAGGCAGAAAAATTCTCACTGTTTGTCCACTTCAGGACGTTACTTGTTCCAGAGCTTGAGTTTTGCAGGCACACCTATTTTACAGATCTGGCTTATCTGTTATTTCCTCTCCTCTTAGGCAGATGCACTTCAATTTCAACGGAAACGCCACTAGTTAGTCGACTTTCACGACATACCTGCTGGGGAAAGAGGGGGGGGGGGTACAGTGGGTCTATTGTATTCCTCCATAAAACAGGACTGCAAAAACCCACATGGGGAAGGTGTATAGTAAAAAGTCAATTTGTGTTTAAACGCCAGTGGCATATAGGCATATGACAATGGATGATGTAGGCAGCACCATGCTGGCTGCCTTTATTTCCCAGGACATTACCGTGTACCAATTTTAGTATGTATGACAAGGTCAATTTTCAAAACAATCTGTCTCAATGTGGGTTCAAACTCAGGACCTTCAAAACTCAGCAGGTGAACAGCCACCCATTGCCGCACCATGGTTACCTAATGGCATATCAGACTATCAAAAAATTAGGCTGAACAATATGCAGTAGAACCTCGCTTAACAAGCACCTCTCATAATGAGAAATTTGCATAACGAGCAAAACAAATTGTTAAAGAATGACTTGCTTAACGAGCGACGTTTCGCGTAACGAGTGGCGAGGAGAGGGGAAGTCCCGGATTGTGCGTTATGTTACATCAGTCTGTGTTTAGCACTCGTTCCAGTAGTATCTTAGTGTCGCTTGTAATCACACATTTTCTTAAACTTGTGTTATATTGTAATATGTGTATGTGAATCCTCCAGGACTACAAGATGACCTCCCTGAAGAATTTAAGTTCATCAAGATCCAGTTTCTGCCTCCCAACACTGCCTCCGTTACTCCAGCCCATGGACCAGCAAGTTATTTCTAACTTTAGGAAGATCTACAATAAAGCACTCTTCGAGCATTGTTTTCAGGTGACTGAAGGGACCTATCTCACTCTCAAAGAGTTTGGAAAAATCACTTCCATATCGTTGCCTGCCTCAAGATGATCGACAAGGAGGGGGAAGGGGTTACCAACAGAACACTAACTTCTGCTTGGAAGAAGCTTTGGCCAGAGAGCGTTGTCGATTTCTGACTTTGAGGGGTTCGAGACAGTACCTGTGGAACATGTAGTCAACAAGGTTGTGTCTTTGGCCACTATCATGGAATTGTAGGTGGATAAGAGTGATATCGAAGAGCTTGTGGAAGAGCACAGCCAAGAAGTGACCACCCAAGAGCTTATGGAGTTGCACTGTGTTTCACAGCAAGAAATTTTGGAGTAAAGTTTGTCAGAGGAGGAGGAGGAGGTAACAGAAAAGCAACAATCTTCTGGCTAAATAAGAGAAATGCTAAAAGCATGGGAAACTGTTGCATCTTACATTGAGAAGCATCACCCTAATGAGGAAGTGGCTATGCGCGCTGCAAATTTATTTAATGATAATGCTTTGTCGCATTTTTGCAAATTTTGAAGCGTCAGCAAAAACAAATGTCTCTGGAAATCTTTCTAATAAAAAAAAAATAATTAGCTATGTATCATAATTATTTTGACTTTTTTGTTTTGTTTTTCTGCAAATCGAATTCGCATTCCAGGTGAGTTCGTTCCATGTTTGAAGAAAAAGATGAAGATGATTTACTCTCCTTAATAATATGTATATAATTTTCTTTAAATAAAGGTTATACATAGCATTTTGTGAGTATTTTTTCGACATGGAACGCATTATCATATTTTACAATAATTTATTGAGAAAAATTGTTTCGCTTAACGAGTGTTTCGCTTAACGAGTATGATTCTGGAACGAATTATGCTTGTTAAGCGAGGTTCCACTGTATTCCTGATATGAGAAAGATATCTTTACTTGATTTTTATATATTATTGTTATTTTTTCTTGGAATTATATAGACGAATCTACATTGTTTCCAATGCCATAGTTGTTGATGTTGGTGGTGGTTGGGGGAGGGATGGTGGGTGGGGGGGGGGGGGTGCACTATAGAAAGGGACACATTCAGATGGGCTGAGCAAATGAGGATGTCAAGGAGAAATCCCACTGATGAGACAGGCCAAAAGTACTAGACTGAAATCAATCTACATTAAAAATCAGAAAACTTTCACATCTAAACAGGACGTATACCAAGTTGCAGAACATCTTTTCCTGAAGAACTGGCAAAAGAAAAGGACTTTCAAACATGCTGTGATGGGAAGGATGTTCTGCAACTCCTTGAAGAATGAATGTAGGTATAGTCTGCAATCCCCATAAATGGCACAACAATATGATGATGATAATAAATTTTCATATTTATTCATTCATTGTCCTGTTGGGCCATTATATGTCATTCAATTTTCTTCGGCACTTTCATAAAAGTGAAAAAAAAAGTAAAGATCCCTTTTCATTCCCTTAGGCGCATCAGGCATATTGGAAGAGCACCCATATTTTTACAGACCAGTCTGCACTAGGTGGGTAATGTGGTCAGCATTACGCCGGCCATCTTTACTTCCCCAGGATGTACATGCTCATACCCATTTTAGGCTGGGTCAACCTGCGACGCCCCATACCACGATAAAAATCCACACAGCCAGCAGTGGGTTTTTATTGCAGATTTTGGAATTACGAGTCAGACTTGCAACGGCTAAGCCACGGACGCCGCAAAAAATATGGAATGCTTCACGAATGTGTATGTCATCCTTGCGCGGGGTCATGCCAATCTTCTCTGTAACGTTCCAATTTTAGTATATGTACTGTGTGAACTGTACGCACTTTCATATACTGCATAAAAATTAACATCATCAACAGAAACATGTAGAGTTTAGCAAGTAACAGCTGCTGCTAGTACCTGAAGGATGTAGTTGAAGAGGGCAGCTGCATTGTCCAGCCAGTACTGCTCTAACTTGGAAGCCGGTGGGAACTTTTCACAGCCAAGCTCCAGGGTAATCTCAAAGCAGTTTGTGTTCAGGTAGTTGTAGTCTTGCATGCCTAAGGTGTAGATTAAGGTTCAACGTGTGGGTGATAATCATAGACTTCTGGCTCATAAAGGTTCATAGTAATTGAGAACAATTGTTTGAACAAATGTCACTACAGTGTGTAAGTTATATGTGGTGGCTGAGAACAAGGGAAGACTGCACAACTAAAACAAACATTATGTAGAAATAGAAAACATCAAGAAATGGACTGTATACAACTTTATGAATACAGCACGATGACAGGGTACAGAGGGTGTCAGAGACTTATTACAGCCAATTTTCAATGAAAACATCAACTTGAGTGAGCAGCAGCTGGCCGAATGGTTAGAAAGCTGGGCTCTCAAGCAGAAGAACCAGGTTCGAATCCTCGGTAAGGCTGGTAATTTTTTCTGTTGGGGGCAAAATAAAATCCTCACCTGCACAGTAGTGGCGACATCACTAGCTATGCAGCCTTAAATTCTCAGGCTCAAAGACCCATCTGCCTACACCGCAAAAGTGGTAAAATAAAGGCAGTAATTGGCAGTTTTTTTATTTTATTTACATGAACTTGATTCTCTCTCTCTCTCTCTTTCTCTCTCTCTCTCTCTCGTGCTGTCTCCCTTCCCCCCCCCCCCCCCCCCACCTCATGTTATTAACTGTTATTGAAAAAACACCACAATCTGAGGTGTGCACTTGTTTACAACATAAAGAATACCGGCAGTGGTGATTGCTTGGCTTTCATCCTGGTAATCTAGCTGTGTATTTTGGGCATGTGAAACATCCTAGTGGTCTGGAGAGAAAAATGATGAAGGGTAGTTTCCAGAAAATGATCAAGCCCTCCGTGAAGGTGGATATAAGACACTGAAGATGCTTGGAAAGCACAGAGGACTGGAGAACTGACAAGAGAAAGAGGCTTTCAGACATGCTCTGATGAGAAGGACGATCTGTAAGGGATCTGCTGATTGATCAGGCTAACTGTACATGTTTGTGAAGTCTCCAGGTGTGAGTGCAAAGCTTGGATGTTGAAGTTTTACCTGCTGCATGGAGAATGGGAGTCGCCGTGGTGTAGCGGCTAGATGCTTTCATGCCGATCTGAAATTCGTGGGTTCGCACCCTGGCAGAGCCCGACTTTTTTCAAAAATGACCTTGATTCCTAGGTAGACTCAGTCTTGAGTGGGTACCAGGTGCAGTTCCAGGAAGTAAAGGTGGCTGGCGTTATGCTGACCACATCTCCCATCTTGCGCCGTTTGGTATATAAAAATATAGGTCTAGGACTATATGCCCTATACGCCTAAAGGTGTGGAAAAGGGTCCTTTACTTTTTACTTAGTATGGAGAATGTTAACCCAGCCCATGAAAAGGAGAAAAGTGGAGTACACCTTGACAGTGGGAAAGTTGAAGGGGTAGAGAGGCAGAGGGAGACCAAAAGAGAAGATGCTAAACAGCCTGACACCATGGCAGGGGGATCATCTGTGTCAGAGTTGACTGAAAGTACATGAGGCAGAAGGCTGAGGTCAGATATACAGATGCCACACTGCACAGACTTTAAGAAGAAGTATGAATTTACTGTGATTTTCAGTCTCAAGCTCATAAGGTGTGAGGCTCCTGACAAGCTCTATTACAGTAGAGACCTGACATCACCTTATCCTAAGCCATTCGTCATTTAGTAGGACATCTAAAACCGGCTCTGCACCACCGACTGCTGCTAGATGAGAAAGCACACTTTCAGGAAACAGCAAACGTAACCTTTCGAAACAGCAGTGATAATGACATATGCAGATATTTTCTTAATTAGATGCCTTCTTGGCAGCATTAATTATACCAGTATTTTCCTTTCTTTCATTCAGCCAAAAACTGATGAAAATAATGGCTACAAACCTTTTGACACTGAATACCACAGCCCCCCATTAGTAATAGGATTGTTGCCACCATTTTTGTCACAGGGAACCCTGTCTGGATTTGCCATGGTTCTATGGTAGTAGGCATAGGAGTTGGACAAGTACCTGTTAATACAAACCATACATGTTTTAGAGTATTACTACTATGATTTATAAGTGAAGAAACCATAATTAATTCATTTGCACTGTGCAAAAGTCAACCAAGTGCTAAATCACTGATTTGAGAAAAGCTGTGTTTCTCCTACTACTCTTAATGAAAATTGTGTAACTGCTTGAAAAGTAATACTTAATTTTGACCTACAGTGGCCCTCAGTAAATGTTTGCCTTGAATACATTCAACTTGGTATGCATCCTGTTTAAACATGAAAGTTTTTGTTTGGTATATGACCTCTGATTGAGTCAAAATTAGTCACAACACCATGAGCTATCCTTGTTTAACTTCCTCGAGACAAAGGCAGAGATAGATGTCAATGACTTTGCAACAAAGCCCAAACAGGCCATAATAGCATTGTCTGAAATGATCAATGTCATATTTCTGAAACAAACTGAGGAGGAGGCAAAAGCCAGATTTTTAGTAAAAGTCAAACCTAATGAGCCTTAACCAGATCCAAATCATGCAAAGAGAGAGAGAGAGAAAAAAAAACAGACAGAGAGAGTTAGAGAAAAAGAACCCCCCTAGACAGAGATAATAAGTCAATAACAATAGGAGATTTTTCATGGGAACTGGTTTTTCATTCTTCCATTGTTTCTTATGGGAAAATGTGTTTGGTATATGAAGTGTCTGGTATGTGTCCAAGGATCTGGAATGAATTAAGTATGTATACCGAGGTACCACCGTATTTGGAGTAGGAAATCTCATGTGTGCCTTTGATGTATTGTAAAGTGACAAACAACAACCCTGAAAATGCGCCTGGGGTTAAAATTTGCAAACCTCCATTTGGGTGATTTTGGCATAGTGCCAACAATATCAACCTTACCAGTTTTGTTAGGTATTTTCATGGCCACAAAAGTGGCATAGTGACTAGCACACCTGCATACTGGCCCAGTGGTCATGGGTTTAAATTAATTTTGAGGCAGATTTTTTTTTTAAACTCACCCCAACCGAGAGAAACAGATTGCACAGACACATTCTTTATCTTGTAAAAAGCTAAATTTGCTCAAAATAACCACAGATAATAAAACAGCAATCACATCTTCCATTAAGTATCAACTTACACAAAAGTGTGATCATCAGGGGATGCAGTGTATTCCTGGCTTTTCCCTGATCTGGTCTCATCATAAGGATAGTTGGCTACCAGGTCCCCACCATGCAAGTTAGCAGACAACACAAAGCCAATTTGAGCCAGCCAGCGCATGACAGCTTTCGTTTCCGGCTGAAGCTGCAAAACAATAAGTCTAAGTGAAAGAAGTATTCGATAAGGAAGAACAAAACATTGTGCAGCGTAAAACAGCCACCCTCAATCTGCTTGATGATGATGAATACCCGCAGGATCTTTGGGTTCCTGTCTACACAGATGGGTCAGCACAAAATGCAATCAGAAATGAAGGAACAGGAGGATACATTCAGCACCCTAATAATACCAGGGATACAGCCAGAATACCAAGAGGAAAGCACTGTCATAACTACGATGCAGAAGTTCAAGCCCTCAAGACAGCAGCAGAGAAATTGCAAAATACCAGGCATATTTCACAACCAGTGTGTTCCTGACAGATGCAGATGGCACCCAGGTCTAGAAAATTACCTGGTATACAGGACACTACTCTCTGAACTAGCCAACTGGTGTGAGGTAGCTATGCAATGGAAACTATCCCACTGTGGAGTTTCCGGAACGAAAGAGCTGATAAACTAGCTAATGAAGTACAACTGGAGAGCAACCTGTTGTACCAGTCTCTTATCAAGAGAATTTGCAAACCCATAAGTGCTCTGTTCTTCTTCTAACTCAAGTCTGAGTCCGAAGATGCTCAGCACAGTGCACAGGCTCTGTAGCACCAGAGAGGATCCTGAAATACTTTTGAGTCCAAATTTTTGCCCGGGCAGCGTCGTTAGGCTACTCTTTTCGATTTCCAAATGCCAAGGGATTTTTTTACATGCACAACAATGCACACGGGCGTCCAATCTCACTACCCAGAGACGAGGGAAATTACTAGAAGTCCAAGTCTAGGTGAAAATATCCCAGCCCTTACCGGGGATGAAACCCGGAACCTCTGGCACTCGAGGTGGACATGATGCCTCGAGACCACGCATCCCCTCACTAAGCGGATCACAAAAGAAGTGAAGTTCACACTAGAGACAACAACTGCAAACATAGGTAATTTATTTTTGAAGTGAATGAAAGAAGAAAATAATGAATCTGACATTAAGAACTGTAATGAATAAGCCAGAATTATATGCTATTGAAATTTTAAATAGTGCAAGCACAAACAATATATTACTCCATTTATTGCCAGGCATATTGTTCTGTATCTTGTCAGGTGCATTACTATCGAGTTAAATCAACATATAATGAAGCATACAAATGAATCCTGTTCGCTGAAATACACAAATAGCATTGTCAAGTTAGATCAAAGAAAATTCAAAATCGGCTATGTGATTACCATGGTAACTTCAAATTTATCATGTGATCGTTTTGTTTACATAAAACAGGAGACTGTAAGTGCAAACTGTTGTGAATTTTAACAAAGGAGGAAAGAAACAATATGCTGCACAGTTTATTCCCTCATATAATGACATGAACTATACGATTTGTTTTGCATAAGTCAGTCTTCAGTATATGTTGTATGCACCTGACAGATACAGCAAAATATGCAGAAGGCAATAAATTGTGCAATGCATTGTTTGTATCCTAATTATTTAAATAAACATGTTTTTTTTTAAACTTTGACTCACAACCTCTATCACACTGTTACTTCATAGGTCATACCCCTAGTTAATCATTTTGTAATTTAAGTAATAGTTATTTTACTTATATCAGGGTCAATAAACTCAACAGTTTTCTCGTCTACACATGAAAAAAAGTACATGAATTTACAAGTACTGAATGGCACTTTTAGAAGCAGAGGAAAGAAGAAGTGACAGGATGAGACACTAGTTAATATAAAAATTAAAAACTAGCTAATTATGCTGATCAAATCATGTAAACTGATTTATCATGCTTTTTCAATATTTAAGAAATGTAAACAGTCTTATACTACAGTTTCTGGAGACATACATTTTATAGGCAAATTAAAATTGTTATTCCGATTTAAAATAAAAAAAAAGATTTAATAATACAATTTATTTTTAGTTCTGCTCATACACAGCATTTCCTTGGTGTTCAAAGAAGTTCAAATTACAGATTTATCAGTGGAAAACTTACAGATTTATCAGGGGCAAACTTACAGATTTATCAGAGGCAAACTTACAGATTTATCAGAGGCAAACTTACAGATTTATCAGAGGCAAACATACAGATTTATTAGTGCCAAACTTACACATTTATCAGAGGAAAACTTACAGATATATCAGTGGCAAACTTTCAGATTTACTGATGACATACTTACAGGTTCAAGGATGGCAAATTTACTCATTTATAAGTGGCAAACTTACAGATTTATCGGTGATAAACCTACACATTTATTAGTGGCGAACTCACAGATTTATCAGTAGCCAACTAAAATGTATTATTGACAAACTTACAGATTTATCAGTGGTAAACTTACAGATTTATCAGTGGCAAACTTACAGATTTATCAATGGTAAACATACATATTTATCAGTGGTTCACTTACATATTTATCAGTAACAAACACAGATTCATCAGTGTCAAACTCACAGACTTATCAGTGAAAAACTCACAGACTTATCAGAGAAAAACTCACAGATTTATCAGTGACAAACTCACAGATTTATCAGGGGCAAACTTAAATTTATCAGTGGCAAACTTACAGATTTATCAGTTGCAATAGCCTTTTCAACTTTCATCAAATGATTGTTTCGCCCTTTGTGTTCTTGTTCATGTTGATAAATCTCAGCATTCAGATCAGGAAAGTTTCTGTTCAGATCCACTCCATTAGCATTTGATCTGCCAGTCAACCACCCAACTTCACCTTTTTCCTTCAAAGTTCAATAGAAAATAAGGTTAGTTAGTTTAGATATGCACCTGAAAGCAAGTTAAATTGAAAACTTTGAGATCATGTACCTTTCCGTAACATAACATAACCCTTGACCCGTTAGGGTCATGGAGATATATCAATGGAAGAACTAGCACACAAAACCAGCCATCTTTCTCTGTCTTCCATATGATGAACAAGTGTATGATAACTTAGTTCTGTCCATTTCTTGATATTGTCCTTCCAGGTTCTTCTTTGCCCAACCCTTCTTCGACTATCCCCCCTCCCCTACCCCACCCCTCCCCCCATGTTCCTTGAAGAACAGTCTTTGCAATCTTCTTCTTCTTCTTCGCGTTCACCAGCTGTACACTCTGGCGGAAAGTTCTGGTTGCTCGTCCACTACTAAAATGCAGTCCTGCTCCAGAACCTGAGTGTTGCGTGTGCATCAGTTTTACAGATCTCATTCTCTTGAATATAGACTGTTGGTTCTTTGCCTCTCCGGCAGATGCACTCCGACTTCAAAGGAAGCTCCCCAATTAGTCGACTCGTACAACATGCTTTTGGGGAGGCAGTGGGTCTCTTCTTGTTTTCCCCACAATGGGGCCCCGGAACCCACACGGGGGAGTTTTTGCAATCAATTCATGTCTCACCCTGCACCCGAACCAAGCCATCTTGCGACGTTTCACCACTGCCAAGAGAGGCTCCTGATGTCCTGCAGATTTGTATATTCTGTCTCTGACATATCTGTTAGTTTTGTTTCTAAATAACTAATTCGTAAAATATTGTCTACAGCATTTACATTCAAAAGCCTAAATCCTCCTTTCTATTTCCACAGTGAGAGTCCAACTCTCACATCTGTACAAGAAAATCACAATACCAGTGATTTGTTTATTGCTATATCAAGTCTTGTCTCTCTTTGGGACAACTGCCATCATTGCATATGTGGGAGCCAAGGCATTTAGGAGTTTTGACTTCTTATAACTTCTTCTCTTGCATGGCAATTTATGGATGTGTCATGGACTCTTACTCAATGAAGAAAAAAAATGAAGCTTTTACTACAGAAAATTTCTTAGAATCTACATGATCTGAACATCGAGGAAAATTGGCTCATAAACAGCATCCTGTCTCACAAGCTGAGATATTTTGTCCATATTAAATTTCATGGTGGGTTAGACAGAATGGTGATGGAGGGTACAACTAAGAGCCTGCCAAGTGCTGATTTGTCTATAAAATATAAGTCATTCGCTCTACACTTTACAGTGAAAACTGCTCCTTTCAACCCAACATATCGAATGTCAGCAACCTTTCAATTATTCATCTTTTATGATGTGCTTGTTAAACTGAGGAAGGAGGGCAGTTGGTCTATTTTTTTCCCTCTGCTAAAACTGAGGTCCCAGAATCCAAAAAGTGACTGCAGCTCCTAATTTCATCTTTGTTCGTCAGTTGTAAGCACCGGCAGAAAGTCCTGGCTGATCATCCATCTGGACTTTGGCTTTGTGCCAGGGTCTGAGTTTTACTGGCTTATTTGTGGTCACTTGGTTGTTCCTTGCCAAAGGTAGAAGATGCTCTCCGACTTCAAAGGATCTCACAATTAGTTGAATCCTACACCATGCTTGTTGGGAAAGCAGTGGGTCTATTCTTGTTTTCTCCACAAAGAGGCCCCGGAACCCACACGTGGAATCTATGAAAATGAAAATGGGGATTACATTTCTTTAATTTTACCTGCAACTCCTTGTATGCTGCTTGCCAACCATCTGGGTTCATTGAGGGCAGTATGTGCACCCGTGTCTGACTGACAATGAACCTGGCCAAATCATCTCCCTTCTTGTATTCTTCACAAAGTGCAACCATAAGGTACAGGAGCAGTTCTTTACCAACTACTTCATTTCCATGCATGTTTCCTATATATTTAAACTCAGGCTTTCCTGAAACAGAATCACATTTTTGCTTTCATTAGCTTCCAAAAACATTACCTAAAAATAAAGATGGCAGAAGAATAAAACCTTAAAAAAAATTTTTTTCAAAGATTTCACAGTATTGGTGCACTGGACACCTGATCTATAATTTTTACAGATCAATGGGCACTAAATATGTTACAAATAAATTTTTTTTTGTTTTTTTTTTTGGCCGATTTGAATTTTTTACATCTCCCCCCCCCCCCCCCTTCCCCCCCTCCCCCAAATATCTTCTTTTTTTTCTACTCGCTGTGTCAGGGCAGGAAGAGACCTCTAGAATGGGCCTTTCTGTTCGCTTCGCATACAGTACCTTTCAGTGTCTAATATTTCTGCAGTCCATATTCTGCGTGGTCGACCTCTGGCTCTATTACCGCTGTATCTGTATAACATTGCTCTCTGTGGTGCCCTGTCTGATGCCAATCTTGTTACATGACCAAACCATTTGATTTTTTGCCTATCTATAAAGAAGTTCAGTATTGGTTCTGTGCCGACACTCCTTCTAATACCAACATTTCTAAGTCAATCTTACCTCGTTACACCTAGCCTAGTAAGTAAACATTTCATTTCTGTCATGACTATTTTCCTTCTGTCTTCTGAAGTGTCCACGTTTGACACTGACAGCATAGCGTTGGTAAGAATACTGTGTTGAACGGTGTTCTTTTAGTGTTCATTTTTACATGTTTGCATTTCAAAATTGGTGCCATTTCGCTTAAAACTTGATTGGCTTTATTGCAACTTTGCTGATTTCTTTATTATTTCTTCCATCTTCTGAAAAAATGCTCCTCAGGTATGTAAAAAAAAACTTTGCCTGCTTTAACTGGTGTTTATCAATTTCTATATTGGTGGTTCTTCCTTTTTTTGAGAATGTCATCACTTCTGTTTTGTCTATGTTGATATACAAATCATAGTTGTTGCATTCTGAGTGGAGTTTATAAACATGTTCTTGTAGTCATACTGCTGTTTGGGCTATGACTGCCAAAATACATAAATATACAAAGAGAGTTAAATATACAAAGAGAGTTATCAATAAACACAACATAGTGAAGCATTCTTCTTCATCTTTCTTCTTTGCGTTTACCAGCTGTATAAACTCTGTTGGAAAGTTCTGGTTGTTCATTCACTTCTGGACTGCAGTCCTGATCCAAAACCTGATTGTTGCATGTGCATCCGTTTGACAGATCTGACACATTTTTGTGCAGACTGTTGGTTCCTTGCTTCTCAGGCAGATACACTTCAAATTGGTCGACTCTTATTACATGCTTTTGGGTAGGCAGTGGGTCTATTCTTGTTTTCTCTATAATAGGGCCCCGGAACCCACACAGGGGATAGTAAAGCATTAAAGGAATACATTCCCCGGAGCCTAAAAAACAATATTTATCTGGTTATTTATGACGTGACCTTGTGGCCTCTAACACTGAGGCTTATGGAACATTTTGATGCCAACATGGTTTTGAAAAAAATAAAAAGACAATTTGGAAAAGTGACATTCACAGCGAATTAGACCCAATCAGAAGTGTCAGTTTTGCAGCTTCTCTGGATAACACGTTTGAAATTATTTGGACAGCCAAAATGATGTTTTGAAAGAGGTGAAGGTCCAAAGAATATTTATTACAAACATTAGAAAACATCAGAAAGAAACTGGAAAATGTGACCACTGGAAAGATTTTTGGCAGTCATTTGTCATGGCACTGAGGGAATCAGACTATGAACTGATACATGCTGCTGGAAACTGTGGAGAGACACGGCTGCTCGGGCAAGGAGTATGGAGAACTATCGATATATGTATATGCCATATCCAGGTGTTAGCACCTACAGCAGGTGAGGCGTGTCCTAGATATGAAGAAGTGGGAAAAAATACTAAATTTAAAAAATAAAAAAAGAAGGAAGGAAGGAAAACAGGAATAAATAAAAGAAAGAAGAGGAAGAAGATTAAGAAAACAATTAAGAAGATAAAAAATAAGAAATGTTAATGGTCACGATACAGCATTTTTTTTTCATTTATGATTTAAAGAATTGATTTTTTTTTAGATTGTTTATTTTTGCAAAGTTCAACATTCACAGAATAGACTACATACACCATTTATGTCATTTGTAAGCAATTTAGCATTTAAAAGTTCACAATAAATACCCCACCCTGCAAATATTTGTCCAAGAAAAAATGTTTGCCTACATTTCTAACACATAGCAATGGCTGTTTCTAAATATTATACTAGTACATATTATATGTCGGCTCTGTGGCTAAGTCGATGGTAAAGCTTCATAATGCTGGGGTGTCGGGTTCGATCCAAGCTGCGGGCCATGCGCCTTGCGTTGGTTTCAACAGTAGTATCAGGGGGCTGACCATCCAGAAAGCAATGGCAAACTACTAGACGTAAATTTGCTAAGAGAAACCACACAACAGCCAGGGGCTGCTGGGGTTGGTTCTGCAACATCCTGTAAAGGATACGCAACTAACAAAACAAAAAAACATATTATTTATCATTGTAAAGACCATTCCAAGTACTTTTTTGATTTTTATTTATGAAAGCAAAATCAAGCTTTGTCTGCTACACTCAAAACTTAGAAAGAACTGATATTTCATTGCCTCTATTGTTTGGCTACATCTGACTAGTCTCTATTAGAGATTTCCTTGGCAACAAAAGTATTACGCATGTGCAAAGTAAGTTTCTTTTCCAAAATAGCAGCCTTGTTAATCTTTGGCGATTTATATGATGTTTTCAATTTAAATGAAAATCTTCTTGTAAGCATATCTATTATGACCACTCAATAAAAGGGGGTATACAGGTTTGGACCCAAAAAATATATATAATAAAAAGTTAATTCAAAGTGTAAAACTGTATTAACTCTTTGAGTCCCAGGAGGTTTAGCATCAGAGGCCCATGTGGTAGTTAAGAGAGACGTTAAATCGGCACCTCTTGCGTTCATTGGGCCTCTAGATTGGAATCTATGAACGTATAATACTTTCCTTGGGACTCAAAGAGTTAACACATATCACTGAAAATTCCCCATTATAAAATAATTGGTCTAACATTGTTCATTAAAAAAAACTGGTATCCTCCTGACCCCTTAACTTAGTCCCAGGGGGTTTAGAATCACAGGCTCAAGGAGTAGTCAAGAGAGACGTAAAATCGGTGCATCATGCGTTCATTGGGCCTCTAGGTAGGAATCTGTGAACGTATGATGCGTTCCTTGTGACTCAAAGAGTTAAAAGAATGGCGAAATAAATCAAAAAGACAGAAAGAATGAAAGAAAAGAAATGAGTGGGAGAAGGTGGAAAACAGGAAGATGGTATGAGAGAAAGAAAGAAAGAAGAAGAAGAAAAAGAAGAAGAAAAAGAAGAAGAAGAAGAAGAAGAAGAAGAAGAAGAAGAAGAAGAAGAAGAAGAAGAAGAAGAAAAAGAAGAAAAGAAGAAAAGAAGATAAAGAAGGAAAGAAGATGAAGAAGGAAAGAAGATGAGGAAGGAAAGAAGATGAAGAAGGGAAGAAGATGAAGAAGAAGAAGAAAAAAAGAAGAAGAAGAAGAAGAAGAAGAAGAAGAAGAAGAAGAAGAAGAAGAAGAAGAAGAAGAAGAAGAAGAAGAAGAAGAAGAAAAGAAAGACTAAAAAGAAAAAGAAGAAGTAGAAGAATTAATTACCTGGTTCATGGACGCCTGGATTTTCAGTAATTTCTAGCACCGTTAAATTCCTGCCTTGGACTGACGGTTCGCTGAGGTTGTAAACTCGTGTAATCTCTGGACAGGCCCTATTCACTTCAAACATCAAAGCCACCATCTGTTCGAAGGTATGATGAAAGAAAATCGAATCGGAGGTGGTATTCTCAGCTGATCCCGCTTCAACTTGAGCCGTTTCTGGCTGTAGCGGTTCTGCTTTGGCATCTGTGCTGGAACTAGCGACAGAACTTGAGTCGATAACATTTACCGTTAATATATTCAAAGCCAGTATAAATACAAACATTTTTACACAGCCCATCTTAAACAGGGTTTCTTGATAGTTGTTTCTGGAAGTCTTAAGTCTTGTCTAATGATAGATGTTAGTAAAAGCCAGCAAAAGTTGGTCCAGAGATGGTGTCTGGAACCTGAGTCTTAAATATGATAATATATTCTCTCGTCTGCTGCTGACGGAAGCGTGATGACGTCAAAGGGAGCACAGCATTGATTTTATTGAAATGCGTGGGCGATGTAATGAGTTGAGTCCAGAATTGACATCACAGCACTCGCCCGGCTCTCTAGCGCAGTTGGCTAAACCGGACTACGCGATGACCGGTTGACGAACTCTATGTGGTCCGGGGGTAGGCCGAAAAGCCACATTTTTCCCAGATTTACGATATTTATCATGGAATCAAGGCCGAAGGATTGCGATATCCATAATACCGAGCCTAAGGGTTAACAACATATGGCTTCTGAATACTAAAAAAAAAAAACATCACAGCACTCGGGCATTCCCATGCATGCTCCGTCCTCCTCTTCAGCAGCCAGCGCAGAGTTCCAATACTGATGGTGTCGGCGATGCTATAAATTTTAACAATATAAAAACTCAGTCAACACTCCGTGGTTTTTTGTTTTTAATGATTAACACCCGCCCGATGTAGGACGATTTTTTTTTTCGCTTTTTTTAAGCCCTACTCCGGTTGTTGAACGCGGTTTCTGTGACCTCTCCAGTGGTGATCCTCATCCGAATGGTTGTACTTTGTGTCACCAGGTGTTTATCGCTCAGTCAGTCCGCGGTTTTTATTTTTCGGCGTTAAAATCGAAACAACAGAAATTATAAATGTAGCTAGAACAAGAAGAGACAGGGTCGGAAACGACGTAACCAAGTTGATTCAAAAACTGACAAAACAGCATTCAGAGCATTCCCATAAGCACTCCGTCGCCATCTTCAGCAGCCAGCGAAGAGTTTCGATACAAATGGTGCCAGTAGCATTCCGATTAAACGTTCGTTTTGCCTTTCATCTGAGCCTCGATCACCTCCCAAAACCTCTCGTCACTCCTCCTTGCATCAGTCTCACCAGATTGTGGTGGTCCATCTGCTACTCCTAACTGTACACGCTCTCCCACAAGGCACTAACCACATCTGTCTTATCATGCATCAGTTATTGCACCAAGTTATGCAGAGCTAGCCAGTCTGACTGCCTGTTCAGTTCGACACCAGGATAGAATTTGGGACAGAACTAATTCGAAACTATGTCAAGAGGCAACAGAACAAATGATTCGGACGTTTGCCAAGACTACCACCAGAAGCACACCACAAATAGCACTGTCATGTAGGCCTAATGGAAGTACTAGAGGTCGACCCCGCAGACAATGGATCGATGGAATATCCAAGCATTTACGTAGCATTCTATTTCAAGGAGCACACTCGTTACCTATTCGAAATCCTGCTTTAAAAGACGAAAAGAGTCAGAGGAGAAGAAGAAGACGGTTCGCAGTGCCAGCACATTTTAGACATCTTTTCAAGTGCTATAGTAATAGACACTTTGTGGTGAGTACTGGCACTATTTTTTAAACACTCCAAGGTGAGCACCAGCGCCTTGTTTTATATTTTTTAAAGCAATGGAACACTGCGATACAAGTGGGTGAATAACATCAAGAAATGAGCGAAAAGCAATCAGACTGCACATCTAGGGCGAAAGACAGCGTGCTGGAGATCCATTGCTGCCAATCTTCATTGTGGAAATGGCACCTGGTTGACTGATTGATGTCTGTCCGGTATCTTCGTGGTCTGCCTCGTGGTCTACTCCTCTTCAACACTTTTCTGTAGTAAAAAAAATTTTTAATCAGTGGAACGACAAGACGGGGTGGTACCGGTTAATTCAGCTCTTCGCTGGCTGCGCTGCTGGAGGTGAGGACGGAGCACTTAGGAGAATTCCTCTAGTGCTTTCATGTTATTTCTTGTAGTAGCTCAGCTCTTTTTAAAACTGCAGTTGACGGACTAAATAGAACTTGCAAATAGTAAAATTAATTATTATATATGCTATGCAAATTTGCAAAATTAAACAATGGCTGTATACTAGTATCTGGAGTCAGGGCTGCCGAAGTTGGTACTTTTGTACAAATTCTGTACTATTTTACCCTTGCCGAGCAATAGGAATAAATTCCACAGGGAGCATGTACAGCAGGGATCTACCAATCATCAGCAGAAGTAATCTCTCGTCGACAAACGTTTCATCCCACGATCTCCTAGACGTTTTCAGAGAGTGGGCCCACCTGAGCTCATGAAGCTTAGGGTTGGTTTTCCCTGCTGCACGAATTACCGGACGGTGTTCGGATAGGGACAAGACGACTTGGTGATTTTGCAGAGCGTACTGTGAGATAAGAAGTCGTCGCGGTAGCATAATTAGAGCAGTCTGATTACCTGGACGACCGAGCGACAAGCTTACGATTGGTATACCGGACACATGTTGGACTTTTATTAGCAGGTGGCAGAGAACACTGGCAGACAATTCGGACACGATAGACTTTCAAGGGATGAGAAACCCTTTTCCTCTAGGCACCCGGACCAGCTCACCGAGGCCCGTCCCCTACGTTGTTCCGTTGCGTCCAAAGCCAGCTCGAGGCTCTCTCAGCAACCTCGTTTAGCCTTTTAAGTGTCCGTTTCCGTTCATTACCGCGCAATCCTAGTTCCTTTAACCACATTGTAGAGTGAAGTGGAGACGAGACCTCTCGAAGTGGAGACGAGACCTCCCACTTCGACGGCAAAGACACGTACTGTTTACGCCTCGTCTCTCCTCAGACCGACTGCTAAATCACAGTAGCAGCCGGTCTGAGGAGAGACGAGGCGTACACAGTTGTAATCTGATTCGATGTTTAATGTTTTGGTACATTCAGTTTTCGCTCCCCTTAACAATTTTAAGATTTTATAAAATTACGGTTTTTTCGTAATATCATACCCTAGATGCTGTCACAGGACAGTCCAACATTTTAGGGGATGGTAAGACTGGGTTTCCTGGCTTTCTGATGCTTTTAACGACCCAAACAAATCTAGAACTGGTCCTAACCCCAACCACGGCAAGCTCCAGATTTATAAGGCCGTACAGCTACGTCTGACGAGAGAGTGCAGCCTAGGTCCCACGACTGCATGCAGCCACGTCCGGCTGTATATATACATAAATCTGGAGCTGGCTGTGGTGCAGCCTATCTACCACTCCCTGAAATATTAGATTGTCCCGTGACCTGTGGATTTCCTCTGTTTGGGGTACATAAAAAGCACCAAAATTACTTTTTTTTAAAAACACTTTGAAAATAAATACACTGATGAGAGCAAAGTTATTGCTACAGGATATTGCCAACTGGAAGCCGCCACAGCAGCTGCATAACAGAGTGAAAAATAAATCGTATATCTAAAGTTGAAGTTTGTAGTTTAAACAACGGATCAACAACATGGCACACGGGTAGTAACCCATAACTGCTCCGTTCTTCTTCTAACTAAAGTCTGAGTCAGAATATCTCAGCGTAGTGCACTGGCTCCGTAGCACCGACAAGGATCCTGATATACTTTAGGTAGATTTGTATCTTCAAGTTTTGCTCTGACAGCGCCGGTAGGCTACTATTTTCGATTTCCCCAGGGAATGTTTTATCTAATGATGTAATGGACATAAGAGTTTTTTTTGATCAAATGTAAGAAAAGCTAGTTAAATGTGTGTTTTAAAATTAAAAATTGACGTTTGGTACCTTTTAGTTTGTTTTGGTACCTTTACAACCACCCCACACCCCCCCCCCCAAAAAAAAAATTTGGTACTATTCCCAAAATAATTCGGCAGCCCTGCAGAGACTGTGTACAATACAAACTACAAATCTGAAACAATTGTCGACTCCCCAAAGGCGCGAGGTCATGGCGACAACAATTGTAGGGCAGTGTTGTAGACTGTTGAATTTAATCTCGGGATTCAAGCATTTAAAGTGAGTTTTGCAATAAACTACTGCTTGTTCCTCTTTAACATATGTTTATAACCTTGCCGTACGAATACGGTGCGTGTTAATATTTATAAAGCCTCTGGTTTTTGGAAAGTAATTTCTAACTTTCTATTTTTCTAATTTCAAAACTCCAACTTCGGAGTTCCAAAATTCGACAGTTTCCAAGCCTAAAAAGTAAAATACGATGTGCTGTGTTTTCAAACAGTATTTGCATTTATGTAAATGTAGAATTTTATCATTTCGTACCATCATGACACTAATATGAGATCAATTGGGAATTACTACTAGTTGTGGGACTTGTCTTATTTATAACAATAACTCCCCATCTCTTATTTATTAAACCATTTGTCAACATTTCACTTTTCATCAATCCAATATCCTGTGTTGACATTGTTAAAACTGTTTTGTTTTTGCTTGTGAATTGTAAGTAAATAGACAGTTGGCTCTCCTCCGAACTTCTACCCCCTCTGTATTGCGGCCTGAAATATCCATTCGGGGCACAGTCCAATTAAAAATATGCCAGCTCTGTATAACGAAACAAATGCTCTAACAGGGTCTCAGCGATATGTTACTTGCGGACCTGTTTCTTATTGTTTCTGATTACCTGACAATTCTAAGAGACACACGCAACACTGCAGATGATAGTAGCAGACGACAATAATAGCGACCGTTGACACTTTCCATTGTCGAACTTTCTGCCGACGAACAAATTGCGGCAAATCTAGGATTGGCTCGGAAAAACGAAACAAATGCTCTAACAGGGTCTCAGCAATATTTTACTTGCTGACCTGTTTCTGTGACTATGCCTCACCGCCGAGCGTATCCCCCGCGCCGCGTGTAGGGGCTAAACTAGATGGCTGGTACTCACGAGCGGCAGCTACCGCATCTCCTGCAACTTCCTCAAATTACTTTGCTCATGAGTCCCAGGCACCTAGTTTAGCCCCACATCTGCGCCACGCGTAGCGGAGCGAGGGATACGCTCGGCGGTGAGTTTAATCGCGTTTTGCGCATGCCAAGTCTGACATCTACCGCTGCTAAATCCTCAATCGGAAAAACAGTATTGCTAATCTGTGTGGGAGCGCGTGGTCTACCCGCCATATCACTTTCTTCGTCTATAATGTCTCGAAATTGTCAACAGTCGCTTTTATCGCCTGCTAGTATTGTCTGCAGAAAACGCTCGACATTGTCACCGGTCGCTTTTATCGTCTGCTACTATCGTCTGCAGTGTTGCGTCTTGTGACATTGTAAGGTAGTCCTAGTTTTGTCGCAATTTGTTCCTCGGCGGGAACTCCGACAAGTCCGTATTTTTAATTGGACTGCGCCCCGAACGGATATTTCAGGCCGCAATACTGCGGGGGTAGAAGTTCAGAGGAGAGCCAGACAGTTGGTTAATGCATTATTTTTTTATAACATAAATGCTTTAATTTTGATTATTGATAATAACAAGACGCCATTATTTATAATTATACATGTATACAGAAGGCCTACAAACAATGCAATGAGTAATAAATGTTTAGCCTTCCTGTAATTTATTCTTACTGATGAATCATTTTAAAGTAGAGACCAGTAAATAACTACTTAAATTACTAAATATACAAATATTAGAACTACAAGAGGTAGCTACAAGTACAGGGCTTAGTTGATTAGTTCTAGATGGCTGCCACTGCAAAAGGTCAAAAGACAAATGGGCTATCCTCTGAATAACGGTCCCAATCGAGGCCGAAAATATACCCTAATAGGGCCTCAGTGACGTGTCAATTGTGAACTTCCGGCGACTTAAATTGCGCACTTCCGCCACCGCAGAGAGTATCCCCTCACGCGGCGTGGATTGGGGCTGAACTAGATGGCTGGGACTCACGAACAGCAGCTATCACGCCTCCTGCAGCTTCCTTAATTTTATTTGCTCATAAGTCCCAGCCATCTAGTTTAGCCCCAATCCACGCCACGTGAGCTGCGTGGGAAATACTGTCGGCGGTGGCGGTATAGTCCCCAGAAGTTCGCAATCCGGCGGTGGCGGTATAGTCCCCTGAAGTTCGCAATTGACACGTGACTGAGGCCCTGTTAGGGTATATTTTATGGCCTCGATAATTTGGGACCGTTATTCGGAGGATAGCCAACAAATGAAAAGAAAACATTTAGTTTGGATATATTGGTTAAAATGTATAGTTTAGTTAATGATTAGTCCATTGCTCTCTCTCTTTTTCTCTCTGTCTCTCTCTCAACAAAGGTGCAGGTATTTACCGCAGAGAATACTTGGTTGGTTAGTTGCGTAGCAGTATCCTTTACAGAAAGATGGAAAGATGAAAGAGTACCAACACCTGTTTCTAATCTGGGCAGAATGCGATTCCACCTGATGGTTTGGAACTATTTTCATAGTTTGACTGATGAAGATCTACATTTCAGGTTACCACTAACACATCAGCCTGGAATTACCAGACTAAGCAGGCCACTATGGACTGGTGCAATATTTGATGCAGGGAACAAGGAAACCGTTCAGGTTTTAAAAAATTTTTCTGAGAAACCAAAGATGCCAGCAAACGTTTTTGTGACTTTTTTGCAGAAGGTTACAGCGGACATCATGAAAGACAACCCAGGTATAATATAGTCATGTTAAGTTATTGCTTCTTTATGAATCCTTTTCATGTAGCCTTTTTTTTTTTTTTAGTTTATCAAGTTAAAACAAAAATGGTATTTACATCTTTTTTCTTCTTCTTTGTTTATCGGCTGTAAGTTCGGGTGGAAAGTCCTGGTTGTTCGTCCGTTTTTATTTTGGCTTTGGGTCAGGGCCTGAGTGTGCATGCACACCGGTTTTACTGGCTTATGTGTGTGCAGTTGGTTGTTCCTTGCCACTCGGGTAGATGCTCCCAGTTAGTCGACTCCTACGACATGCTTGTTGTGGGGCAGTGGGTCTGTTCTTGTTTTCCTCAGAATGGGGTCCCAGAACCCACACAGAAAATTTGCATCTTTCAACAAAATAATTTGCACATGCTTATATAGATACAGTCCCTCCCCCCCCCCCCCCCCCCCTTTTTTTTCCCCCCTGTGTGGATTCCAAGGCCCTAATATAGAGAAAACAAGAATAGACCCACTGCCTACCCAAAAGCATGTCGCAAGAGTTGACTAACTGGGAGCTTCCTTCGAAGTTGGAGTGCATATGCCTGAGAGGCAAGGAACCAACAGTCTGCACACAAATGCGTCAGATCTGCCAAACGGATGCACACACAACACTCAAGAGTCCAGAAGTAGACGAACAACCAGAACTTTCCACCAGAGTTTACAGCTAGTGAACGCAAAGAAGAAGAAGATTCAGTGATTAATAGAGCCAAATAATTTCTGGAGGCCACAGGGGTATGATTTTATAGAAGACTGCCTGAAATTCTTTGGTCTGCCAAAATGAGTAACCTAGATGTTTTGGAGAGGTGAAGGCCTTAAGGTAATTTATCGCTAACATCAAGAAGAGTGTAATAATTTCTTTGGCCATGTTATGAGCAGAGGAAAACTGGAACAGGCAGTGACCACTGGAAAGATTTGTGCCAAGAGAGATAGGAAGATTCTCAGCAGTTTTTTGTCATGGGAAGGGTGTGTAAGAAAGGAATTCTTACATGTTTGATGTAAGTTGTTGAGAGGCATGATAGCTCATGCCACTCAGCAGGGCACTTCGTGATCATGATGATTTATTATGGTGTGCCTAATTCTCTTGGAAGGGAATATATTTGGAAGGGAGTTAAAGGGGTCTGGTGCTGGTCATGAAAGCTTAACCTCACTTCTATGTATTGAGCATCCCACCCTTCATAGGCTGCACCTGTATTTATTGTCCAACAGCAAGCAGTCTGTTGACCTCGGAGTTTGATGTCTGCTTCCCTTCCCGGCAAGTGAACATGTCTATGTAGTGGACTTTTGTGTCTAAGATAATTTCATTTTATGACAGCTACATTTCGGTAAAGATAGTTTAATTTTTATTTTTATTTTAACGGCATTCAAACCTTCAATTACAGTGATAACACTTGTCAAGGAAATTGTAATTATCATAGCTTAAAGACTTCATATTGTTGTTGCTGTTATATATTTTTTAATTTCCGACTAAAGTGGATCGGGCTATCCTCCGAATAACGGTCCCAAATTATCGAGGCAGAAAATATACCCTAACAGGGCCTCAGTCACATGTGAATTGCGGACTTCGCCAGAGTATCTCCCAGCAGCAGCTACCGCATCTCCTGCAGCTTCCTTTGTTTTATTTGCTCGTGAGTCCCAGCCATCTAGTTTAGCCCCACTCCACGCCGTGCGTAGGAGATTCTCTCAGCTGTGGCGGTAGTCGCCAGAAGTCCGCAATTTACATGTGACTGAGGGCCTGTTAGGGTATATTTTCAGCCTTGATAATTTGGGACCATTATTCGGAAAATAGCCATGGATCGGATGTCATCAATCAGTCAATCTAGTGCATCTCCACAATGAAGGGTGGCTGCAGTGGATTTCCAACACGCTCTGTCTCTTGTCCTGTCAGACTCGTGCCCGTCCATCTCTTGATGTTTTCCTCCCACTTGTATCATTGCCCACATCCTAATCTTTTGCCTTTGACCTTTCCCTCCAGTATGGTTATTAAAAGTATGTATGGATATCATACACTGCTTTAAAATTTCATGCTGTGTTAATTTATTTGTAAGTTATTGTGTGTTTGTGCAGGTATGAGGCGGCCAGAAATTGTCAGACAGGCATCATTAATGTGGCAAGACCTTAATCCAGAAGAAAAATCAGTAAGTTGAAAACCTGTAGACATTCATAGGCATTTTCTCTTCTTCTTTGTATAGTCCATTCCATCTGGTTTTAATAGTCCTGTTTTTTCCGCAACCTTCTGTATTGTGTACTTTTTTAATCAGTTACTTAGACGAGGTTTCAACATCACTGTGGATATGTCATGCCATATATGTCATATACCAGTGGAGATCACGCAAATTGTCCTTCACAGTCCCATGTGAAAACTAGTGAAACATGTGTCAGTCACAGCAAACTCTTGAAGCTCAGACAAGCAAAATATTACATGCATTCAGTTGCTGTTAAATGTACCAACACTAACTGTTCCACACCAGAGTTGCAGCTAACTGACTGCAGATAATGTCATGAAAGCCTGCATTGTACCTGCAAAAGTACACACCCTTCTGAATGTAATCGGCCACCTGCCATTTTAATTGCAGTCAACAACACATGGCGACACAGCGGGGAAAAAAAATGTTCACATGTAATCTACAGCTCACAGTTGCTTAACTCAGTATTTGGGCGACTGAACCTTTGGACTCCCGGTCCAGAAATGGGAGAATTTGCGTCTGCAAAACCTAGCTGGAAACAAATAGCTTTTTAGAGCGTCATCAGTCAGCCATTTTTCCAGAAGTCATTCACTTTTAATCATTTCTGGCATGCATGATTCTCTATGCATTGATGCTAATCTGTTTAGTATCTTCTGTCTTGATCTCCTTCTGTCTTTTATGCATTTTATTACTTTATATTTTGCCACAATATAAATTCACATTTTACATACAATCTAATGAAATAAATAACATAGTGTTTAGTTCTTAAATTCCATTGTATCTGTGTAACTTATTAAAAATTCCATTGTCTCCGTTTAACTTATTTTCTTGGGCATCCCGTGTGAACAATGTTTTCAGTCTCTCTCCTACATCATTGCTGGCTTCAGTCAGACAGATTAACTGGTGTGCGAGATCACATTGCCTCTTCTGCTTATTCTTGCTGTTCTTTAAAAGGATGGTAGGCACTTAAATTTGTGGTTTACAGCTAAGATGTGATATCATCACCTTTCAGCAGACTCTTAATTAGTCGCCCTTTACAGCATGCTTGTTAGGGGCAGTGGGTCTGTTCCGTTTTCTTACAGATGGGTTCCAAAACCCATAATGGGATATTTTCTAATGTGTGTGTTCGCGTTTGTATGTGTGTCTATCTTCCTGTCTGTCTGTGCATATCTATATTCAGCTGTGTCTTATTTGCCTGCCACCTGTATTGTTTTCTTTCTCCTATACTCAGTGTCTCTGTGACTATGTTTGCTGCTAGATGAATTTAGCATGAATGGGATTAAATGTATGTTTAATGTGGGAAAGATTAATGGTAATAAGATCATTTTGTTGAATCTGTGTGCCTAGATCTGAAAGTAAAGTTTTTCTCTGGTAGGATGAAGTGTAAGTATTCTTTGCTTCCCTTGAGGATCAAATCTACACGTGTGAGTCCATAGGACTTTTTACTGTCTAGATACCTGTAACACACTGTAGTCCATAGGACTTTTTACTGTCTAGATACCTGTAACACACTGTAGTCCATAGGACTTTTTACTGTCTAGATACCTGTAACACACTTGTGAGTCCACAGGACTATCAGTGTCCAGATACTTGTAACGCACTTGTGAGTCCAAAGGACTATCAGTGTCCAGATACCTGTAACACATTTGTGAGTCCATAGGACTATCAGTGTCTTGATACCTGTCATACCTCATAGTAGTTGCTGACACAGATCACCCTGTGCACATAGCGCTGTATGCAGTTACGGGTCTGTGGCTGATAAAAGGGAAGTCATGTGTGGCACAAGTAGAGGACATGATCAGACAGGTTTGCATCCTGGAGAACATTTGGTGAGGAGAGGAATGGGTCAGAGTCCTGGGGAAAGTCAGATCTGTGGAGTCATGGTCACATTGTGCAGCGAGTGGCCAGCAGGTGTCGCAGAGGTGGACATTGAACCGTTAATTCGTGGCACGGTGATTTATGTCACAGGCGTGAGGAAAAGTTAAGTCCAACATGATATGTATAAGGAGATGCTCCGTACCTCACTCGGGCGCTAGTTCTGGTTGTACGGAACCTCACGCAAGACCCCTGCAGCACGTCCTCGTCGTGCGCCACGGATAATGTCTCAAATGAGCATTAACAGATCTGTCAGGGGATCTCGGAGTTTGGCGGCCCCCAGAGGTTATGTGTCCTTGTGGCTGTCATCAGCCCGCCCCCAAACGCATGGGTGAAAAAGGTTATCAAAACTCATTAGGAACATGAGTAAAGTGCATGCCGAATGTACAACTAAAATTACAACCCTTGGTTAAAAGATTGGGGAGTGAAGAGAACATTGTTCTGCTGAGACTCGACCCTTGACCTAGGGATTTACCCGCAGCACAGACGAGTAACATCTCCTGTGGGTGGCATCTCGCAGCAAGATTCTACCCATGTACATCCTCTGTTAACCCTCAGTGTCGTCGTCACCGCGCTGAGGTACACCAAGACAGCAACCATCCATCGGCTGGCTAAGCCTAAATGTCCAACAAAACTAGAACCTACGTCACACGAGTAAGCTCAAAATCTGACCATCACAAATCGAATTGAATGGAAAAAGTCCTAATGTCCACACCAAAAGACCCCACTCGCCCGAGTGCTGGGACCAAACATATAACGATATGCCTGACGCAGGAGGTTGAATTTTGTCGGGCTAACGGTTCGTCAAAGATACCTAACGTGTGAAGAAAAAGAATGTACCTATTTGGGTGGTCACAAAAGTCCAGAATTCGTGGGCTGCTCCCCGCTGACTTCCGGAGGGCGCAGCCCTTGTCGAGCGGGAGGCCTAATACGGTTGTGAGGTCAAGCAGGCATGTACAGGACGTGACGATTCCTTGGGTGAGCCCAGAATCAGAGCGCCATGTGCCGGCTCTGCAAAAATGGAAGCCTCCTTGGATGGCGGGGAATGCCCATGATCTGCCCCTGCCTTCCCTTGAGGGCCAACCGTTCCACAGGGGGCTGCCCCAAAGGGGTACTCCGGGGGCAATACCTGCGGAGAAGGAGACAAAGTGGACACCACACAAATCAGGCAACGTCTTGACCCACAATGACCACAGTCATCCTAGAAATAGGCCTCGAAGTCGGAGTACAGCTGCCCATGAGGCAGGGAACAGCAAAACGGTTGTACACGCAAAACTCAGGTCCAGGTAAAAGCCAAAAGTCCAAGCGGATGATTAACAGGGACCTTCCCCGTAATTCACAGCCGGTGAACGAAGAAGAAGAAGAACCATTAATTCAGGATAATGCTCACTCAGATGATGTGATTGTTTATTCAGATGGTTCAGTGTCAAGAAGCAAAATAAGTGCCTGGGGGTTCTTGGCAAAAGCTAATGTTTGACATTTGGTTCAGGAGAGCCTAGCATATGTTACCACAACATTCAGCTTAAAAATTGAGGTGTGGGCGATCACTGCAGCTTTCTGCTAGCTAGAGAACACCACACAGACACACACATCATAATTGTTATTGACTCAGAAAGCATGGTGAGGACAGGTATGCTTCATGCAGAGTGGCATGCTTCGCTTCTGAGGTCTAGGGTGAAGAGCTTTGTCTAGATCTTTTCTCAGGGGTGTGATGGCAAGTGAACAGGCGGACAGATTGGCTGGCTCTGCACAACATGGTTGAATGATGCATGTGGTTAAAGACTTATGGGATCATGTGTACAGTTTGGAAAAGAAAATTTATCAACACAGTCTGGTGATAGTGATGCAGTGGGGAGTGGCGAGGGGATCTAGCTGATACTCGACGCCAAGAGGACAGATAAGACGGACATATAATCAGGCTGCTACTGGCACCATTGGTATTGGAACTCTGCATTAGCTTCAGAAGATGGAGACGGAGCGCTTATGGGAATGCTCCGAGTGCTGTGATGTTGGTTCTTGAATCAACTCAACTTGATACCTGTATAACACACGTGAGTCCATAGGACTATCACTGTTTTCTTGTAGTAATACTTATCCATAGGCCTCTTGCAACTTTGCCTGAGACTCGCTTCTTGCAACTTTGCCTGAGACTCGCTTCTTGCAACTTTGCCTGAGACTCGCTTCTTGCAACTTTGCCTGAGACTCGCTTCTTGCAACTTTGCCTGAGACTCGCTTCTTGCAACTTTGCCTGAGACTCGCTTCTTGCAACTTTGCCTGAGACTCGCTTCTTGCAACTTTGCCTGAGACTCGCTTCTTGCAACTTTGCCTGAGACTCGCTTCTTGCAACTTTGCCTGAGACTCGCTTCTTGCAACTTTGCCTGAGACTTGCTTCTTGCAACTTTGCCTGAGACTCGCTTCTTGCAACTTTGCCTGAGACTCGCTTCTTGCAACTTTGCCTGAGACTCGCTTCTTGCAACTTTGCCTGAGACTCGCTTCTTGCAACTTTGCCTGGGCCTCTTCAGGCAGGAAATTTAGGGGTGATCCAAGGTTTCATGGCAGTCACTAGCCCATGCCATATTTTACCCACTCCATTGTGGGAAGGCGGTACTTTTCTGTCACATATCACTCCTGTCGCGTGCCTAATGTAAGGATTCCTCCTTCAGAACCAACAGCACTCAGAGATAATTATGTTGAGTCGTTTGGCTCGTATTGGTCTAAGGGATTCCCCGTGGCCAATATACGATCAACTTATCTCTGGAGTAGGGCAACTCAAGTATTGGCACTACAAAATATGTCAGTATATATATATAATATTTCTAGGCACACTTGGCTGGACACCCCCACTACTTACTAAAGAAAGCCCCCAGGTTATGATAGTTCATTATCATAACCATGTTAACACATATAATGAAGATACATACATACGCAACTGCTAAACACTTAAAAAGGTGAAATAGAAACACCTAAGTCAGCCATGAAAATGAATGCATGTAATCAATATAAATTAGATCTATAAAAGTGAGACAATTGCCAGATCTCTTAGGCTAGATCTCAGGATATCCTGTCCAAATCACAAAGATACTACACAGACAGAATGTCTTGGAGATGACATATTGTCATCACTGGACACAAGGAGCTGTGAGGAACACAACATCATGCGAAGCATCAGACTTATCTTCTCTTCTTTCTGTCTATGATGCCTCCCTCAGCTCCGGATGATTCGACTGTCTTTGACTCTGGGAATTCTGCTCCACTGGATCAAGTAGTAAGAGTACTTCACTATATAGGACACAGCAACTGTACCGGTATTTAGCAAGTCTCTATCACCAGTAAGGACACACAATGTCTTTGAGCCACATTAAGCTCTAGCACTGGTAGCTGTTTGAGGTACCATCTCCCACATGTTGGAGATGTCAGGAACCTTCACAGGTGTTAGCTGGTGGGTAACAAGTTGTTTCTGGTGGTTTGATGGTTGGTGGATGTTGGTTGGACTGTGAATCTTCTGCCAGCTCTTCAGAAAATATACATCCTGTCAAGAAAATAACTCAACATTAGTCATCACCAAGAGGGTAACATCTTGACAGGAAAGACAGAGCAAGCATCAGTCATCAACCCCCATCTGCTGACTCCTCCCTGCTCTCCTGTTTCATTCCTCAGATTGCCTCTCCAGACCAAAAGACATAAGTCTCCTATATTTATCTGTCTGTTTAGTGCAAGAGAAGGCAAGTCAGATATACAGTGGAGATAGATAAAGTGGTCTAACACATATATCACTCTCCCTCTCCCCCTCACTCTGCACACAGACACCAATATTTACTGTCAGTACCTGCATTCACTAGCTTTCCCAACCGCCCCAGCACTCATTGATCTGGGTCAAAACACACACATACTTTGATTAACACAGCCCTGACCCAATTCTGTCCCCATTTCGTATGTACAGATTCTTTAATCAGTTTTAAAAAAAACGTACACAATTGTAAAGGGTATTAAGTTTTATCAGTATGGGTGGTTTATTGAGGGCATAAGCTATTTAGTCTGTACAGTGGAAGATCTACGTTCGAATCCGCTTCTCTAGCGATCAAGAACGGTTCGAACTAAGTGGAATCACACAGCCGATACTGATTTCTCTACAGCAGTGACTACTTTACAGACATCATTCTAGGTACTCGTAAACTATAATTAACTTACCCAAGCATATGTAAAAACTGAGACATTTTCCAGATTGCCTTGAAAAAAGTAAAAGTTATACAGGCACAGATTAACACATCTGGACGCTTGAGAAGCTGGCAAGGAGAATAGCGTCACTTAGACACTTCAGGCGTTGGTACAAAAGAAGTTCCTTGTATACTGGGGCAAGGAGTAAATCGGTTTCCAAGAAACCTCAAATAACTCCCTAAATATATCTCCAGGAGATATACATTTAAAAGTGGAGTTTAGTTAAAGTAACCAGAAAAGGCAGACATAATAATGTTGTCCAATACAGGCCTATATATATAGATATAAGGGACTATATATTTCTGGGCGAGTCCAAGTTTGAATTTTGTGCAGATTACAGGTAAGACAGGTTATCAGCCTTACAGACCGATGCGTAATGGCTATCATTTCACGACATTTTCCAATATCGTATAGATATACAGTGTGCATTTTTCTTATGACATGATTTATTATAGATTTATAAAAATACTTGACTTTTTTCTCTCCCTCAGCGGTTGACCTTAGAACGCAAAGAACTGTTTGAAAAATACAAGGAGGATATGAAGGCATATTTAGATAATATGACACCGGAACAGATCCAAGCGGAGGAGTTGAGGAAAGAGAAAAGAGCAGCTAGAAGACTGAAATCTGTGAGCTATAGATTTATTTTATCAATCACAGTAGTTATTTGTATATAAACTTATACATAGAAAGTTTTTTTTTTTTAAGTAAAGGACCCGTTTCCATGCCTTCAGGCTTATAAGGCCCAACCTGTATTTTATAGATTAATCGGCGTGAGAAGTGAATTGTATTGTCAAAAAAAAAAGACTGGTTAAACTTTGTGGGTGACAGCATTCTTCTTCTTCATTTTCCTTTAAATGGATACGGTTGGCACGTTCTGTTGTGGTTTACAGCTAGGCTGCAGTATTTATCCCTTTAGGCCCAATACGTCTGATTTCATCAAACTCCTGATTAGTCTCTTTTTATGACACGCATGTTTGGCAGGGAAGGGGGGGGGGCAGTGGGATTGTCTGGCCTGTTCCAACCCCAGTGAAGACAAAACTGTATTGTACACGAGAAGATAAGGACTGTACGATAGCTTTCATAAAGGCTGCCGGCCTCCTGGTCTAAGTTTTCTGATAGAAGGATCGAAGAAGAAGATTTCCCATGACTCACACCCATATTTCAACCTATGCAGGTTGTATTGGGTATAATTATCAGAGATATTAAGATTACGCACTATTATGACCTTAAACACATAACAAATTATATCCAGTATCATCATATGCTCCCAGTGTTGGACATGGTCATTTACAACCAGTCTGAAAAGAAAATCAGTGACTATGGAAATGAGATGTCTGTGAAAGGCTGAAGGAGTGACCAGTAGAGCTAAAATGAGGAATAAGGTCGGAAGAGAAAAAGTAATACGTAGCCAATTCTAAATTACATACAAAGACAGCAAATCAAGTAGTTTGTCTACTTAAAAAGATATTGCACCATGGCATACAGAGCATGCACTATAAGGGAAGGACACAGATCACGAGATAGACCAAGAACAAGATTATAAGACAACATCAGTGAAACTCAACAACAGCATGATTTGTCTTTGCTGGAGGCAGCCAGAAGAGCCTGAAGAGATCAAGCTTCTCAACTTGTGATCTCCATCAGCATGTATATGTTCTCCATGGTATACCATTGCGTTGGGAAATGTATGGGCAGAAAGACTGGCTGGTTCTGCACCACCTGGTGGTAAACTGATGCATGACAAGCTGGATGTTGAAAGGGTCCATTGAGAGCAAGTAAACAATGCGGAGGCACAAATAGATCATCGCGGTGTGAAAAGATTGGTGCAGCGAGAAATGTCAAGGAGATCTGGCCAGCAGGAGAGGGGCGAGATGGGCGTACAGTCAGACATTTACTGGTACCATTGAGAACTCTGCTTGTTGCTGAAGATGGGGACAGATCGCTTTGAGAAGACCAGTACCTTTTTTTTTTCTGGGAACAGTTTTCCATCTGTGTCTACCTGCTAAGTTGTTTAAAATTCTCCCAACATTTTAGCTACCAAGACATGCATTTTTTTTTTTTTTTTTGGTTCTTGTAGAATACTATTTAAAAAAAAACAACTTTTTAGTCACTTGTGCTTTGCGAATCTTGTACTAGGCTGAAAAGCCTGGTGTCTCCTTCAAGATTCAGAATAAATTTTTAATATTTAGTATAAATTTGTATGCGTACAATTGTATTTACTTGTATTTTTTGTTTCAACTTATATAATCTCTGTTTCCAGCTCAGAAAGCAGTTGGGCATGCCTAAAAAGCCAGTGGGTTCCTTCGGTTATTTTGTTTCTGAAAAATTTCCCGAATATTCCGGACAGAATGTAGCAGTAAGTATCTGCATAGAATTGGTTGCGATTACATGTGGTTTCTTTTTTATCCTTTTTTGTGTTGGGTTAATTTTTCATAGAGAACATTTACAGGCCGTAAAATGATCTTGTCACATATCACTCCTGTCGCGTGCCTGAGATAAGGATTTCTCCTTCCGAACCAACAGCACTCAGAAATAATTATGTTGAGTCGTTTGGCTCGTTTTGGTCTAAGGGATTCCCCGTGGCCAATATACGCTCAACTTATTTCTGGAGTAGGGCAACTCAAGTATTGGCACTACAAAATATATCTGTATATGAATACAATATTCCTAGGCACACTTGGCTGGACACCCCCACTACTTACTAAAGAAAGCCCCCAGGTTATGATAGTTCATTATCATAACCATGTTAACACATATATTTAAGATTCATACACACACAAATGCTAAACACTTAAAAAGGTGAAATAGAGACACCTAAGTCAGCCTTGAAAATGAATGCATGTAATCAATACAACATATACATATATAAAATAGTGAAGTAGATGCCAGAACTCAATACCTGGATTCCAGAATACAATGTCCAGATTTCAAAGACAACCAAACAGCCAGAAGGTCCTGGAGATGACACATCGTCATCCTTGGGAAACATAGGAGCTGTGGGGAATATAGCAAAACATGGCATTAACTGGCACTTATCCTCTTTCTATCGTTGATGCTTCACTCAGCTCCTGATGATTCGACTGTCCTTGGTAATTCTGCCTCAACTGGATCAGATGGTGAAGGAGTACCTCACCATAAAGGACACAGCAACTGGATAGGCACTTAACAAATCTCTCCCACTAGTCATTCGCAGCACTGTCCCTGAGCTACACACATGCTCTGGCACGGTAGGATTTTTGGGGTATAGGGCACCCCATCCTGAGGATGTCAGTCTTTACAATTGGTAGTTGGGTGATAATTGGTTGGTAATAGGTTGATGGTTGGTTGGTTGGACTGTGATTCTTCTGCCAGCTCTTCACAAAGGTTTCATCCTGCCAAGAAAGAACTCAGAATTAGTCATCACCAAGAGGGTAACATCTTGACAGGAAAGACAGAATAAGTATCAGTCACCATCCCACATCAGCCTACTCCACCTCTGCTCCCCTGTTTCATTCCTCAGAGTGCACTCTCAAGACCAAGAGACACTGTCTCCTATCATTCATCTGTCTGTTTAGTGCAAGAGATGGAAAGTCAGATATATAGTGGAGATAGATAAACACTCTAACACATATATCAATCTCTCTCCCCCCTCCCATCTGCACACAGACACCAATATTTACCGTCAGTACCTCTATTCCCTACGACTCTCAAGCCAGTCCCACACATTCATTGATCTGGGTCAAACACACTCACGCACTGGCTGACCAAGTCCTGACCTAAATTCTCTTTCCCCACTTGTATGCACAAACTTCTGTTGTTAGTTTAAATAGTACACACTTGTAAGGTTATTAGTTTTACCAGTATGTGTGGGTTATAGGGCATAGGCTATTTAGTCTGTACAGAGGAAGGTCAAAGTTCGAATCCGCTTCTCTAGCGATCAAGAACGGTCGAACTATGTGTGATCCCACAGCCGATTCTGATCTCTCTACAGCAGTGACCACTTTAACAGACATCATTTTAGGTACTCGTAAACTATAATTAACTTACCCAAGCATAGGAAAAGTCCTAGGCGCCACAGACCGCCTTTTTAAAATGAAATGTACTGGCGTCGATGGACACGTCTGAGTTCCAGGAAAGCCGGCAGAATAATACCGCTAAATTTCAGTTCAGGCGTTGGTAAGAAGGAGTTCCTTGTATACAGGAGCAAGGTGTAAATCGGTTTCTAAGAAGCCTGAAATAACTCCACTAATATTTATCCAATATTTGCAAATTTGAAAATGACGCTAAGTCAAAGCAACTAGAAGATGTAGATATTCTAATTATGTCCGATAAAGGCATATATCGATATAAGGGACTATATACCTTTCCGGACGAGTCTAAGTTTGAATGTTGTGTCGAGCCCAGGTAAGACAGGTCTCGACTCTGTTAGGGTGATGCGTAATGGCTTATCATTCCACGACAATCTTCACATAGGGCTTTAAATATCAGTGATCAAGGAAAAAAACAACAAAAGTCCAGTGGAGAAGTAGAACTAGTCAAGGCATAATCACACATGTCCATGTGTGGGTTCCGGGACCATATTATGGGGAGAACAAGAATAGACCCATTGCCCACACAGAAGCGTGTCGCACAAATCAGCTAATTGGAGGCTTCCTTCAAAGTTTAAGTGCATCTACTTGAGAGGCAGGGAATTAAAAATCTACATACAAATGAGTAAGATCTGTAAATATGATGTGTACACAACACTCAGGTTCTGGAATAAGACTAAAGTCCAAAGATGGAAAAACAACCGAAACTTTCCACCAGAGTTTACAGCTGGTGAATGCGAAGAAGAAGAAGAAGATAACCACAAATGATGAAACTAATGTTGCAGCTAGAAGACCTACATCAGCATTAAATACACCCAGTGATACAACTGTAAAAGCCGACACCAGGTAACTTTGCTTTTTGATTTAAAATTTCTAACCACTTTTGGAAGACAAGAACTGCTTGGAGTATGTCCTCACTAGTCATGGGAACAGGAAAAAAAGGTTGACAGAGAGTGAAGGCTGGAATAGCTAGGCAAAAGTGAAAGGTTACGGACAGGAAGTAACAAGAAAAATGTTTCGATGAAACTTGAAAATTAAGGTCATGAGGACAATGGTAACCAGTTCTTCTGAGACTTGCAAACTCTTTGTTGAAAAAAGCAAGAGTTAATAGCAATGATTTCCATGTCTCTTTAAAAGAAGAATTAAGAATATATAGCAACATTTAGAATCTTAACAAGCTTCGCCTGTATTATTTACCTGCATTCCCCATGTGGGTCAGGGACCCCATTTTGGGGAAAACAAGAATAGATCCCACTGCATCCCTATTAAGCATGGCGTAAAAGACAACTGTTTTGGGGTTTTTTTCTTTGAAGTCAGTGCACCTGCCTGAGAGGCAAAGAACCAGCAGTCTGCATATAAATAAGTTAGTTCTGTAAAACAGATGTGCACGCAACACTCAGATTCTGGAACAAGTCTAAAGTCCATAGGTGGATGAACAACTAGAACTTTTCTTCTGAGTTTACAGCTGATGAACATGAAGAAGAAGATTGACTGCATGTATCTTTGTTAGGCAAATGTTTGTATAGGGATGATGATGATGTTATGTCTGTGGCTTGGTTTTTCTTCATTATGACTACATTTAATAGACAGACATTTGGTCCTATTGATTATAATTGAACCTGTTGTATTTCACACATTTCAGTCAGCTTTCAAACTTTTTCTCAGTGAGTGGGCGGAAATGAGCGATGCTGAAAAAGAGGTATGTTTTATTTAGCCATTTTTTTTATGATACCCCCTTATTGCTTCATTCCTAACTTTTTGTGTAATTATTTTAATATTCTATACTTTCAACACTGAGTAGGAGGGCCTGAAGTAACATTTCTACGTCAGCAGTTTCTTACAACATGTATTTTTTAATAAGAGACTTTCTGTACCAATGATTGGATATGTCTTTAATAGCCTCTTCTGCAAGACGGGAAAACTGAGAGATGAAATCTCTCAGAGCAGTTTAAAAGTGATAGATCTTAGTTAGTCAATTGATTATCCTCACTGCACATTGAACCAATCAGTCCATAAGTACTCTCAGTAAATCCCACAGCGTGTAGCGGCTGATGACACCAGTTATCTGTTGGTTTATTCTTCTTCTTTGACTACCCGTGTAGTGTTCTTGTTTGGCAACACACTGTTTAACTTGCTATTCTTGCAGTCTGACCATGGTTGCAGATTCACAGTTCTCACTTGGTTCACGCAAACATCTTAAATCTCGTAGAGCATTCAGTATATCAGCCTGGTCCAAGGCTTGTCCGGCTTTCACAGTAGCCTTACCTGCAAGCCTATCAGCTTGCTCATTTCCTTGTACCCCCACATGTCCTTGCACAAAAATTAAACTAATTCTTGTCAGCCGTGAACGTTGTGGAGCCACCAACCACTGCCTTTTGGACCCAGCTTTTTTCTATCTTCCTGAACATACTCATCAAGTCACTGAGAAAGCATACCCCAGTGAAAGTCTGTCTCTAGCCATGTTACTGCTTTAGTAACAGCCATGACCTTCACATTGAGACTACTTGTAGTCATGGCAAAAGTGCCAGATCTTGGTTTACATAACTGACATTACAACATGTTGTCACCAGCAAGTCCCTTACAACCTACACAAACAAGGGCTAAAAAGGTTGCATTTCCTATGATAGGTATGCTTCTTTGTCCAAAATCATTGGCACACTGTAGGACAGGGCTATTTAACTGACAGCCCGAGCACGGGCAGATCATTGCCAGTTGCATCATAATAAGGATTTTTCTATGCAGGGGATCAGTATATTGTGCCATCATAATTTGACATATCTGCTGATTACATGATTCACTTCTGTTCATCACATTGGCTCAGTATAGCTCTTAAAAACTTTCTTTGTCACTTCAGTTGGCAAAGATTTCGTAACACATTCTTCATGAAGAATAAATTAACCAAATTGTTTTGTAAATTTACCTATTCAGTGTAAACATTGCAAGTGCGATTTTTGTTTCAGAAATACAGGCAGAAGGCAAGAGAAGATGGACAAAAGTACAAAGAAGATATTGTCAAATGGGAAAAGGAGATGGTAGCATTAGGGAGATTTGATGTAGTTCGGAAAAAATTTTTACATGAACTAAACAAGAACAAGAAAAGCAAGCCATCAAAGAAAAAGTCAGTAGGATTTTCAGCACATGATAGTGATAGTGATCTTTAATTTGAGAATGAAAACCATTAAACAGATTGAAACTTCAGTAGTTGTTTTTGTCTTTTTCTGTGATTTCCTTTCCTTTCGCTGTAAATGCTGGCAAAAAGTTATGATTATTCATCCACTGCTGGATTCTAGAACCTGAGAGTTGTATGCACATCCGTTTTACAGACAGATGCACTCCAACCTCAAAGATAGCTTTCCACACACAGATGTATTTTGACTTGAAAGGAAAAATCTCTAATTAATCATCATTTGGGACATGCATTGGTTTTGACAATGGAATCTAGAAGCTGACCGTACAGAAAGCAATGGCAAACTGCTGGACGTTTGTTTGCCTAGAAAAACCTCAACAACCAAAAAATGTTGGGGGTGGATCTGCAATATTATGTAAAGGATACGCAACTAACTTTTTGGGGGTTAGAAAACCAGTGCCCCCCCCCCCCCCCCCCTTTTTTCCCCATTAGGCCCAGGAATCCACTGGGGTGGGGGTGACTTAAAATCAGCTGCATTTCTCAGTCTGATTTTGTTTCTTTCCTTTCTTCTAAAGGCATCTGATCTGTCTTGCTCCTCCTACATTTCCTTTTCGTCTAATGTAATGATCTTCTTCTTTCTCATTCCTCTTTGAAGGGCTGTGTACCGCACCTGTTGATGCACCTAAGAGTTTGTTGTGTCTACATGTATTTGTGAAATAATCAAGTAACAGAAAGTGTATTGATCGGCACTCATAGAAACAAGTAGATAGATAGAAGAACACACTAGACAACATTAAAAATCGAAAGCTATAGTTACCGTGCCGGAAATTGAACCTGTCACCTCGAGACGGCGTTTGCGCCTCGCCATGAATACAAGTGCACTAATAACATGGTCAACTAGGCACCCCAAAAAAGGTGTCTTATTGGCCATATCTCTCGTATTATATATGTGTTTGTGTATGTTTTCTTCTTCTAGATTGATTATTTTCATGGTATTAACTTTAGTGGGGCAGGACCTGCAGCCTATTGTTTTTGTATGATTTTGAGCAGTCCTGGGATTTATGATGTCCAAATCTTGCATCTTTGCTTCTTGTTTTTTTTTTTTTTTTTTTTTACAAAATTTCTCAAAGTTTGGCACTCAATGCCTCAAGTAGCTGTGTTTATCAGATGGAAGAACAACAAGGCCAAATCCCAGACACCCTCTTTAGCAGTATAAAAATTATATAGGGAACCCATTGATTGAAAAGTAACCAGTTTTCCTTGCCCTTATCTAAGGAGACTAGGTATCTGAATATGCTATCTCTGAAAACACTTGGACATGAAACAATAAGTGAAATTGTTCGGTTATGTTCCGAGACTCACACCTTTTATATTTTCTTGCTCTTAAGAGTGACCTTTCTTCCAAGTCTTCCCTTGATGTTATATATATCTTGGTTTTTGTTTTTAAATATTACCCAATACATTTCCTTCCTCTATTTTTTCAGTGAATAGCCTGGTAGTCCCTGCAGCTCCATTTATTTCTTCTCTGGTCATGATATTGTCAGTTTCAATCTTAAATAAATGCATCATCATCATCAGGTGCCTTGCCGACTGGCGTGGGCGATCATGCCTCTCCATAATCCGCGATCTCCTGCAGCATGTATCAGTTTGTGTGCCGACACACCTCCATGCCATGCAACAAGACCGTCAAGCATCTTCTCTCGTTGTCTTCCTCTATCCCTCCTTCCACAGATCTTTCCAGTGGTCACAACATGTTCTATTTTCCCTCTTCTCATAACATGGCCGAAAAATGATGTCTCCTTCTGATGTCAGTGATAAGTTGTCTTCGGGCTCCCACCTCTTTTAAAACCTCTTGGTTGCTCTTTTTGGCTGTCCAAGGTATTCTAAGCATTCTTCTGTAAAACCACATCTCTGAGGCCTCCAAAAATAAATGCATACCTAGTGAAATTACATGTGAGTGAGCAAAGACAACTGCAAGTAATCTGAAACCCAGTCTTAATTTCACCAACCAAAATCTTCAGAATTTGGCACACAGAATATTAGAATTCGATATGAGTTTGGAAAACAGATCTAGCTCATAAAGAAATAAAATATATGATTAGCTATTTGGGATTATGCAAAGCAAGATTGAAATTAGCCAGCAGAAAGCTTTTCGAAACACATGAAGTAGTCCTGATCTTGTGTCTTGCCGAGATAAGATCCGTCAAAGTTAAATGACCTTAATATTAAGAGACAGAACGCATGAGTAGAATGGCAAACAGTAACTTCCATTATGTAGCATGTCCTTACTTGATGTTCAGATCTATTAAAATGGTTCTATTTCGTACGTGTAAAAAAAAAAACAGATGTGGTCCAATTTTGGATGAATCTGTTAATAAGAAATTCCAAAATACCATACATTATCAAACCTAGAAGAAAAAAATTATGTCTTGGAACCATAAATAATTCAGCTATATCTTCTTTTTTCTTCTTCTGCGTTCGATATCAGTCATGCTAAACATTGAGTCCCGTCTGGGTAACAAATAGGATTGTGCGTTTAAGGTCGCCACCGGTCCCCCATAGCTTCTCTTGCAATGTGGCTTCTTTGGGCCAGATCCACAGTCTTTGCTGGGAGAGGTTAGGGCAGTACTGCAGTATGTGCTCAGGGTCAGCTATATCAAATACCATAGTTTCCCGCGTGGGTTCCGGCGCCCCAAGAATAGACCCACTACCTGCCCAAAAGCATGTCCTAAGAGTCGACTAACTGAGTGCTTTCTTTGAAGTCAAAGCACATCTGCCTGAGAGGCAAGGAACCAACGGTCTGCACAGAAATGAGTCAGACCTGTAAAACAGATGTGCAAGCAACACTCAGTTTCTGGAACGGGACTAGAGTCCAGAAGTGGACGAACAACCAGAACTTTCTGGCGTAATTTACAGCTGGTGAATACAAAGAAGAAATACCATAGTAGTGGAAGGCATGGTTTCTAGAAGAAAGACAGGGGTCTGCCAATACAAAGATGTAAATAGGGTATTCATGACTGAGGTTCGCAGCTGACTGTAAAGTGAATACCGTTCTGGAAACAATTTTTATTTTGATATTACAAAAATCAAAGCCTGTTGTCGATCTGCTAATTTTGTCATACAAAATAGTGTCTTGTGTACATGGGCTGATAATGCTGTGGGGTTTGCAAGATATTGAGAAATGTTATGTTATCACAATCGACGTCTTCTGCACATTGGGCATCCTCATGCTTGCACAGTCCTCAGATGCAGCAGTCACTCCAAAGTACCTCTAATAATTGTTCCCATGAGGAGTTGGTTACAGTTTCTCCTGCCTTTACCTCGAAGATAAAATAGACAAGCTTCAACAAACTTAACTCCTCGTCACGCAGTTGTGTTAGCGTCAGGGATTCACCTTTGTCCCCCAGCATTGTCTGTGCCGTGTTGATGACATCAGCTCTCTCTAAGCTTCTTCCCGTTTGCATTGGTGCATTACTTACCAGCTGGTCAGCTCTTTGATCAATATTGAGAATGTATAATTATTACCCAGCCTTCTGGCAAAGCTCTTTATTTTAATGGTATTATTTAAGTAAGCAAGAGGCAAAAATGATCTAGGTGACAGCTAATCACCATCATGAAACAATTTTGTGTTGAAAATATAGTCTACATGTAAAAGAAGGAAATGCTCAGAAAGGAAGATGTTTACTAATTCAACAGTGATAAACTGAAAGCACACATGACCGGTTGTTTCCAGAACTTGTAACGCTAGGAAATCTCTCAGATGTGAGGCACAAGTAAAGGTTTGCTTTTAGAACTTGTTACGCTTGAAAATCTCTTAGATGCAAAAACAGAAATTGAATATTGTGATGTACCTGTGTTGGTTCTGGGGGGAAAAAAATTTTTGGGTGGGGGGGGGCTGACCCAATGCACCCATAATAAGCATGTCATAAAGGTCTTTCCTCCAAAGTCGAAGTGCATGCCTGTGAGGCGAGAAACCAGCAGTGCGTGTAAATAAGCCAGGTCTGTAAAACGGATGTGCATGCAAAACTCGAGTTCTGGAACCAGACTAAAGTCAAGAAGTGGGTGAACAGCCAGCGAACACTGCGATGGAGAATATTGTGATACACAAGTGACAAGATTGCTTCTAGGATTACCACAACAAAAATCCCTCAGATAGCAAAACTGGATAAGAGAAAATGCCTCAGTGATGTCAACCTCATCATCCTATTGTGCTGTTTTTTTCCTCCTTCATTTCATTCATTTTCTTCTTTGAAGTATAGATCTGGTAGTGAATAAAACAAGATATTGAATATTGTGTGGAGGCTGCTTTGTGAACTTTCTTCTTTAACCACGATGAAATTCCTCATGCTAGATAATTGGTTGCTCTAAAGGCCAGGCGGTGTCCGTGGCTTAGGCGTTGCGAGTCCAACTCGTAACCCAGTGTACCGCGATCGAAACCCACTACTGGCTGCGTGGATTTTTATCATGGTACGGGGCGTCGCAGGTTGACCCAGCCTAAAATGGGTACCAGTATGTCCTGGGAAAGTAAAGATAGGTGGCGTAATGCTGACCACATTACCCACAGAGTGCTGATGGTCTGTAAAAATATGGGCGCTCTTCCCATATGCCCGATACGCCTAAAGGAGTGGAAAGGGATCTTTACTTTTTTTTTTCTACTAAAGGCCAGGCTGCCGATTATGGCACTAACAAAACTGACTGCTGTTGCATGAAAGATTTTAATATTCACTGATGTCAGGAAGTCTTTATCACTAATAACGTATGTCTGAAAGATGTTAAAATTATGTTTAATATTATTTCAGGAGATTCTGTTAATGTTAACTAATGTGTGGAAAAATTATATTAGAAGTAATTCATGTCTAAAAAGTCTTTATTACTAACAATGCATGTCTGGAAGATGTTGAAATTATGTTTAATATTATTTAGGGAGATTCTGTTAATGTTATCTAATCTGTAGAAAAATTATATTAGAAGCAATTCATATCTAAAATTCATTTCTAAAAATGTGTTGCTGAAGATATTTGACATTTTGGAGAT